TCATAGTTTGCAGAGACCTGACAGTATCAGGAGAGCTTGAGGATTTGGATTCCCAGACTGTCAGTATATTACAAGAAATTCTTAATGCTAACTTTAGCACCTTTTATTTATTGTTTCCTTTGGTTATTTTTGCTGGTATAAAAAAAGTTGGGGAAAAAAAAGCCTTTTAGTTGAATCATGCCACCTACATGCCTATACTGTTAATCCTACTGGTTTGGAAAAAAGTATGGTGTTCTTGTGCATAGAAATTTATAATAACCCGAAAGGAGGGACAGAAGGGGTATGTTTGGTCTTGGTTTCCTTTCTTTTTTTTTTTTTTGGGGGGGGGGGAGTGTGTTTGTTTGTTTGGGGATTTTTGTTTTTTTTTTTTTTTTTTTGGGGGGGGGGGAGTGTGTTTGTTTGTTTGGGGATTTTTGCTGTTGATTGGGGATTTTTTGTTGGTTGGTTGGTTGGGGTTTTTTTGGTGTGTTTTTTTGAATGTAAAGTTAGATTATAAAAGCAAAAGTGCACACAGCTTCTGATGAAAATTTAAACTAGGCTTATATCATAATGATGTCTTTCCAGATCTCTCACCTCACCCCCTCTCTCTTTCTCTGTATCCTCTCATCTCAGCAGCATTGTAGAGTAAACGTAATGACTTAGACACCATGTGGTGTTCTCAGCAGAACTGTGACATGTATGCTAATCCAAAATAACAGCAGGAAAAAAACATCCCTATAGACTGAGTTTAAGTTCCTTCCTCTCTCTTTTTTTTTTTAATCATCAAATCTTGATTGTTTTCCTGTAGAGCAGCATTAGCTTTGGTTGGGTTTTTTAAATTTTTTTTTTAGTCTCTGCAACAGAAAAATATACATGCAGCCTCTGGTTACCCTGAGAGTTACCCCCAGCAGGGGACTTTTTTTATTGATTGTTGAAGACTTTCAAAAATTTTTCAAGCTGTAGTTTTTCAAACACATCTTCTGCACATTACAATAAGACACACGGTTCAATAAAGCATTTTCGAGACTGTTGTTCAGTTGATTTTCTTTGGTTTTAATGTATTTTCCAGACAGTTTTGTTCCAGAAATTTCTGCATCTGCCTTTAATTATAACTGTATTTTCCAACACAAAATCAGTTTGTGTACATGTCCTGGGTGTATTAAAATCATATGCTTTGGCAGGTGATGAAGTACATAATCCTAAAGTCTTCACAGGTAGGTGAATTGAAGGCTGCACAGACCAAGATGCATCTAAAACAGGCTCTTCTCAGTGTGGTGGTGTTCTGTATTGGTTAAGGCTGGTCTCTTACATTGCCTGAATTCCAGATGCCACCACACTCGCTTGGAAGGGGATGCAAGCTGTGTTTGTTTAGAGACTGAATGCACGCTGGCTTGAATTTAAATGTATCCCTGGATGTCACGTAACTTGTACGAATCTTCATTGGTTTGGGAGGCTGTTTGACATTTTTTTTCTATTTTAAGTTTAAAAATGACATGAAATGGCTACTTGGAGGGTATTCCAGTAGTCTGTCAAGTTCTATTTGCAAGAAAGTATTTTTCCTTCTCAGAGTAAGCTTTGCCAAGGTAGCATTTTTGGGGTACTTCCAAAACATTTATTTTCAGGGTGCTGTGGGCTGCAGTGACTGCAGCCTCCATCAGCTTTGGAGGGGGATCCCACAGGGGAATATTGCCTTTTCCATGGGAGAGGGGGGGAAAAAAAATCACAAAACAATAAATAAACCACCCCACACCACATCCCAGCATTCAACATGAACAACCCCCTTCCAGGAACAGGAGCCTTAGTGCTCTGCCCTTGCACATTTCCTGGAGTGCAGGGACACCTGTACTGTGACTGTGTGGTCAAAGTCATGTAAAGAAGTACTTTTGAAGGTATCAACAAAAGCAATTTTATAACAAATTTTTAGCATGACTAAGTTCTCTGGCAAGGTTTGCTCTGTTACCAAATAGATAAAGCACACAAAGGAGAACTGGACTAGAATCAATCTGGAGTGACACACAACAGAGATGGGGATGCAAAAAGGTGAGGATGGAGAATGTAAGGATGCAGAAGGGGAAGGGAGACCCTCCACGGAGTCACAAATTTCACAACAGACCCCTTACCAAACCTCCCCTTGGAATTGCTCAGTGCTTTATGTTTAAAGGATTTGGCAGCACTTAATCATTGACTGATTTAACCGATTCTGTAAGATTTACCATAACCACAACAGTAACTAAATTTTGACTTCAAGATGGCAGCATTGATGCTACACTTGCTATAAAGTGTTGAAGTCAGTTTTCACACCTGCACACAGACACAGGCATGTATACATTCAAATATTCCTCTCTATGTGTGCATATTACAAAGCCCCTGTTTAAAGCTCCCCCGGAGTTGAGTGAAATGCACACCTGGGATGCCTTTGCATCTCTCAGTGGGCAAAGGCTTCAGCCTCGAGGAGGGGGTACCAGCCCAGGCCCCACTGTCAGCTTTGAGTCCCAAACCTGTGGGCTGATGAGCACCAAGAGGCACATCCTGCTCCAAGGGACATGCTGGCTCAGCCCTGGGGGCATGGGACTTCAAAGCGCCACCCGTGGGACCCCTGCTCTTAGGGTTGTGAGATGCTCGGCTTTAGTCTCCCATCAGATTCCATCCTGGACTCAAAATTACTCGACAGTAATTTTCCTCAAAAGTCCTGTAATGATTATTATTTCACTCCAGCTGTGATTCAGACAAAAACAAATTTCCAAGGGTATTAATTAGAAAACGGGTTTGTTGGGCCACGCATTCCAGGAAGAGGGAGTGTTACTCATGGGCTGAAGACCTTCATGGTGCATGTGCGGGGGAAGACGTGCCCCACCACAGGCGGGTTCCAGCTGCGGTGCCCTGCGTGCTGCTCTCTCTGTGCTGTGTGTGCTGCGCTGTCCCGCCAGGCAGCAGTCCCCTGCTGGGGGCTGCTGTCCTGGGAGCGCTGATGTTCTCCCGAGCCCTTTCCTGCACGGTCAGAGTGCCAGGTTCCGTTCTGCTGAGGGCTGCCAGAGGGCCACTGTTGGGGGTGGGGCACTCAGAAAGGCATACGGCCATTCCAGTATTTGTAAGTTAAAGTGGTAGGGAAAACGGTGGAACAGTGAAGTCCCTGGAAAGTTTTCAGGTATCAGTGTGGTCTGTCTGTAACTTCTGATCTGCTTTAATAAGAGATCTGGGTTGGTTTTTTGGAACCTTTTTAATGTTTTTGTCAAAGACAAAGAAAGGCCCTTGCACATGGTGGTGTGATAAATGTGGAAAATGCATCCACCATCCACAATATTTTACTTGTGACTGCCTTAATCAATTCCCTGGCACTGGGGGTTGGGGGAGTTTCCAACCTCTGCTCAGGTTGGGTTTCTGTCTGCACAGAGTTGTGCTCCTGTTAAGTTTACAGTTTATAGTTTGGTGCAGAAACCAAACATCCAGATGTGTGCACAGCTGCAGCTTTGAGCAGCTGTTGTGAGGGCCTAAAGGCCATTTCCTGCCACCAACAGGCAGAGAGGCTTCACTGCCTCCCAGGCTCTCAGACCTAAACCAGGGAGCAGTGTGTGCATATGTACGGTGTACAGTGTGTGAAGGCCTTCCAGTTGCATCACTTAATCTTCTTTTCCCTAACATAGCTGACCTTCACTTCCAGTCAGCCTGTTTTGCTGCATGGGTACTTTGCTGTTTTGAGGCTGTTTAATTGTTTTATCTCCTAAAGAAGATGAAAGGGTCCTGAGACAGGCAATGGGCACAAGGATTTATTTGCAATGTTTATTATACATCATGTGCACAGTACATAGGGGCGCAAAAGTTATTTGTGAACAAATAGCATAGAAAAGGGGAACCGTGCAGCTTCTGGAGGGTGCTTCCATCACACTTTTCAACTCAGCCCTGGCTGTCACCTCCTGCAACAGCTAATGCAACACAAACACCCTTGTGGGTAAAAGCAGGGCCCTGCAGCTGTGGGGCGTGAAGGGGAGCTACCATGGGGAAAGAACCTGCAGAGCTGCATCCTCCCTGCGGGGCCAGCACCTGAGGAGGGGCAGTGTGAAGTGTGGGGCCAGGGGCACAACTCCTCTCATACCACCTGGAGCACAAGTCATGGCCTTGAAGTTGTCAGGGAGCAGAGCAGAGAGCGGGGCATGGAGGCCAGAATGAGGGATACCAATGCACACTGCAAGGGTGGGAGAGCTGGAAAAGGAAAAAGATGCATAGCAAAAACAATAGGACAGGGAATGATGATCTGATGTTTCAGAGGCAGAAAATGCTTGTTATGCCAAAGACGAGGAGTGGCAGGTGGGACTGAGGAGGGCAAAGGACCACAGTGAATGACAAGCAGCTGCAAGTGAGGCTCTGGCAGCTTTCCTGCTTCCACCATTCACTGCCTGTAGTGCAAGAGGAAGCTGGCCAGCACCTCTGGTTCTCTCCTGCCCTTCCCAGACAGCAAACAAACACTGCAGGCCAGCTTGCCCTCAGCCTCACAAGCTCTCCCGTCATGAAGGCTGGCAGTGCTGCCATGAGGGCACCCTCCCCTTTCTGATCCTGTCCCTTTCACAGAGCAGCCCCTGAAAGGCTGTGTCAGGGTCTCTGCACATCATTCTTAACCCCGGCAGCATGCACCGTGCTCATGGGCTCAGTATCTCTCACGGGCTGTTGCCTTCTCTTTCACAAAGATCAGGATTTGGTCTGAGACTGACCCAGGCCTCCTTCCCCAGGTGCCAGAGCGGTTCATTAGTGCAGGATGGCAGGACAGTTGTTCCTGTCCACATTAGCAGTGTCTCTTTTCCCCACCTTTGGTGCCATCTGTTTTTACCAATCTTCCATTGGCAAGGGAAAATTTTCTTACTTAGGTCACCGAGCCTTGACCCTTGGAGAAGCAAAGCAGCAGCAGCACGCACTGCAGGCGGGTGTGTCCCAACAGCACTGAGGAGGTTGTGCTTTCCGATGCACCCTCCTTTGCAGAGCCCCAGGAAACACAGTTCACAACCAAGTACCAAATAAAGGAGAGACAAACATTTACATTTTATATAAGCGTTTATTTACAACTTGTTTAACAACTGTACACTCTTCTATCACCTTGGAAGCATTAGTGTATTTGACTGGGAAAAATATTAAACTTTTTGATTCCAATTATCATTAGTGAGTTTTTTTGTCTATATACAGGTATGTATATTAATATTGCTACCATAACAATCTGGTAGTTACACAATTTGTAGATGAACTGAAATGGGAAATTAATGTTTTGACACTCTAAGAATTCATTCTTTTACAGAAAATATATCACTGGCAACTTCACAAACAGTTATTACTTTGATAATTGGTCAACATTTAATTCAGGACTGTCAAACAAGCTGCTATTAAGAAGGTATGAGAGTTTCTATGCAGCACAAATGAAGTTAGTATATCAGAGACATGCTGGAGATCAGCTCTGAGTTGAGAGCTCACAACCACTTCATGACAGAGATGCCAGGCTAATCTAGTTAAAGTAGCCAGCTCCTTGACTGGCTCCACCTGGCATCTCTCTGTTGCATTAGTAAACTCTAACAACTTTTGTCAAGCTAAACACACTTACATATAAATGTCATCAAGGCTCAAGAACAACTGATACTTAGTCTCTAATCTGCACAGACCACTTGGAGAAATGAGGTACTGCTCGGCATCACTTTGGGACAGCTGTGAAGGCAGGTGCACAAAAAAAGCAATCCCCTCCTGCCCAGCACAGTGCCCTGATTTCAGGGATCCCACACCCAGCCTGGCTGGGGGCAGGGTGTGGTCCCAGCCGAAGCAGCACTAGCAAATGAAAAACATACCATGCCTTTAACACCCAGCTAAAAGAAGTTTTACTAGTAACGCTTGCCCTGACACATAACAAGGGATCAATGGCTAGGACCTGGAAAGACACAAATCCTTCAGCTCTCTGCTGCACTCAGTCTGATGAAATGCTGCTGCCTCTGCTGCATGAGTACTTGACTCGTTATCACTAAACCCCAGATCCTGGCTGCAGGGCACGTAAGACTTCACTGTCCCTGGCCCTGGTGGACCAGGAAAGACATATATCCCCATCTGAAGCCTTTACGGACAGCTGTCAGCCAGAGCACCCGGTAGCCACAGCACCTGATACAGTATCCAGAAGGGAAAACACCACAGCTCTCACTGGGATCCTAGTTTTAGCCTTCACTTTGCTGCCTGGCCTGCTTGGAGTCCGCTCCTACCTGCCCATCCCTTTGCCAGGCAGCACAGACCACCATGCTCGGGTGGGGCACACATCTGTCCTTTGTCCTCGTCATTCTGCACAAGGCCACGGACACTGTGGGATCAGGATCCCTGAGGACTGGACACAAGCAGGTGTCTCTGTGCCCAAGGTGTGGCTCTGTCAAAGCCCACCTGAGGGCCAGGGACGAGGCAGGCACTGTGTGTGTGACCAGAAGAGACTGCAGAGACAAGAGGACACAACGCTGCTTCAGCGTGCGCGTGCTCCCACCGCAAGCAGGGCTGGAGGCTCTCCCACCGCCCAAGTAAGTAAAACTATTCCTGGAGGCAGCACAGTTCGTATCAATATTTCCGCCAGGATTAAGATCCAGGTGAGCAAGAACGGGGTTTCTCTTTAACTGGATTTAAATCAAACCTCTTACGGGATGCAGCATTCGGACTTTTCAGTTTTTCCAGCAAATCCTATGGCTTGAAAGCCCCTTTCCCTGTTTGTTATGTACTAACTCCTATACAATAAACCTCTTAACTTACAACACTACAGCACTCCCTTGTCTTCTGAATCTTGCCAGTACTGGATGTCCAATACAAAACAAAGATACAGTAGTACAAATGTGCAGATATTTAGGAATATTAAATAAGCAGCTTTTTAAATTAATATAGGCAGTACAAAGCATTTTGAGTTACACTGTCTACATATGGCAAATCTTATATCTAAACTTCAAAATACAAAGAAACAGCCAAGCTAGTGCAATTGGAAATTAAATAGCCAAGACTGTGACAAGAGAAAGAAGAAAAGAAAGGAAAAAACCAGTACAGGTGAAAGATAAACGATCCAAATTATAAACTGGCAAGGACAGTCTGCATAATACTGAAAGTATAGATGCCTTTCATACTTATCTCCATTCATGGTCTTTCCTCAGATTGTTTTAACAATTGTACACAGATTGGAAAAAAAAGTTTCCGAAAGAAACCAACAACACAGCTCAAATGTAGAGATAAAAATACAACAGCCACAAGCTACTGTGTATATACATATTAAGGAAGCAGGCAGCGCCTGTGAACAAAATACCACCCGGTAGTTTGCCTGGCTCGGAGATTATCAGATGAAACTTGCTTGGTTTTCTAAGGAAGTTGGGATCGCCAAGCAGCAATTCATTAGTCATTTCTCCTTGTAAAACACCTCCTTCGCTTTACTTTAATTGTTTAAAGATTCAAAGTGGATCCTTTAAGGGTGCGGGTGCTTTGAAATTTTAACAGTAACCAAAAGGCCTTTTTTAGGAACTCGTTAAGACTAGATTTTTATAGTTCGGTATATGAAAATGTTGCAGGAAGTCTGTGTGTTAATACTGTTAATCAGAATTAAATAAAGTGGACAGGCGGAAGTAAGATGGAGAGCTGACACTGCTCTGTCACTTTGCAGAACGCCTCCTGTTGAGTTGTGAACACAGGATTTCCTCTCTTCTAGCCTCATAGGAGACTTTTTGTGAAGAGAAAGAGTAAGTGGAAGTGGGAAATGGGAAAGCTCCCCAGGATGGTAAACTTCTCTGCAAGTAGATCCCCCTTTGAAATCAGATGGCCATGAGTCTTAAGTGTAGAACTGGTTAAGTTTTGGTTATGCAGTCTGGACAGAAAAGCAAGTCATGCACTGAACAGTCCCTGTTATAATAATGCTGCAGGTCATGCAACCACATCACTGCAAATAAAAGAATAAAGAAGAAAGTTAAAAAGCAGATAACATATTACTGTTGAAAAAAAAAACCCAAAAGCCAAAAAAAACCAAAACAGAGAACAGAACAGGTCTTTTTCAAAGCAGTTTAGTAAGGCCACCTCTACTTAAGAGTTGTGCAAATTCACGGGGAAAATACCTTTGCCAAGCAACTGTTCAAATTAGCAGGAAGGTTATAGGCCAATAATTGGAAAAGCAACAAAATAGCCTTGGTCAATATCTAAGTTTAGCTGTAATTAAACTTCACACACTTCTGAGTAAAATTCTTCAGGGCACCATTCTGGACTAATAAAGCTATGGGAAGTAAGTTTACACAGCAATGAGCAAGTCTCAGGAATTCCTGCTGTCTGTGAGTACAACTGTTAAAGCAAGATGAAGTGAAAGGTGCCCACCCAATTCTGCATGTGTTTACATGCTAGAAGACAATCAGAGTCACATCAACTGTCGTGAGCTCTGAGCTCCACTGAAGGCATTTAAATTTCATCAGAGCTCATCCAGTGCATGAGGCTCAGCATCACTGCCCCACTGCACTGGCAAGCTCTATCTCTGGCCTGCAAATACAGGTCTGAATTGCCAGAAAATGACATGTTCTTGCTAAAGTAAGCTGAGTCAGAGTCAGTGAACAGTCAAGAGAGCATACCACAATACTGAGGAAGGGAATCTAAGTTTGGAAGAGAATCAGAGAGGTTGGCACAGTACTCCATCCTCACTGACGCACCCTTTTTCCTGTGAACCTTCCAGTGTAACTGGAATGGGATGCTTTACTGACACAGCTGCTTCCCCAGGTAACAGAGATATCCTTACACAGCACTGGCACAGCACTACAGAGGCATTTTTGTTTTCATATTGCAAAAGAGCAAATTGGCTTCACCAAAGAGAAATTAGAGCCTGTTTCCCCACTTCCTTCTCCTCTGTATTGCACTAGTCAAAAATTATTCTAAGAATGCTTCTTGTGATGGGACAACCCAGGTTAAAGAGATAAAAAAGAGTGTTTATGCTACAAGTCCTGTAGCTTGTGTATCCCTCTTTCTTCCCTTCTCATTCATCCACTCAGAATACTAACCATAATAGAAAAACAAATAGAAACACAGAGACACATATCAAATGGAGTAAAAAAAAAATTAACACATTCAAAGATCTTGAGGGTGTGTATTTTGAGCAATCATTGTCTTTTAAGTTTGCTTGGCACTGCTTGGTGCAAAAAGTTACACAGTTCAAGATTAATATGAAGATCACTGTAGTTGCTCTATAAAAAAATTAAAAGTTCAATCTACATAAGCATGTACCTATTCTATTGTGTATAAATGAATACAATGTATTCCTTCAGTCAACCCTCTGGCTATTATTGAGCTCAAACTTACTATTTAGTAGCACTTCAAGTGTCCTCCAAGTGCATTTTGCACATACACAGAAGTGACACTTCAGGCTTCTCTTTGAGTCAATAGTACTTTTGAGAGGTCTTGTAAACTCAGGACACTGTACTAACTTTCAAGGATGTAAAAATTCATCTGTAAGTGCCCTTTCCTGACTAGAAATTCTTACCATGTTCTAAAAATAGTTGTCTGCCAATTTCTCTATTTTAAAGCCACCTGTTGAGGTAGCAAGACATAATAGAAAACATAAATGCAAGATGTGAGGGTAAATTCACTGAGCATAACCTGTCACTGCATCTGCAGCATCTTAGAGAGTGACACAGAGAATACAAGGCAGATTATAAATTTTAAAAATTGTGACCTTATAATGTAATGCTTATAATTATTCTGAGACTTTACTGATAATGCCAAACAAAAGCTTTAAAATTGCTCTCAAAACCACTGATGCCTCCAGGAAATACGTTTACTCTCCAGCTTACTAACCTTTTGTGGCTGTGAACAATAACCTGTGCTTTACAATATTTTAAATTATATAGCTGATTTTACATTCAAATCCAAGTCAAAAGTCTGACGATCTCATTGCAAGTATTTTATAACGCCATAAATACTAAACCACTGGGAATTTTCTCTTAAAATTCCGTCCACTTTCATGATCAGGTTAACAACATGAGCATGCTAACCACTGGACTTTTATGTTAGCTCTTTTCTCTTCAAGTTATGTATAATCATTAGGGATTCAATTCCCATTTCCAGAATAAACTACTCTATACCTCTATACTGTAATCTATACCAAGTGGGAATACTTGCTTTTGTAGTTTCAGATTTGTGCCATGCTACAGTAGTTAGCAGTTCTTCAGTGCTGACAAATCTCTGCTTTTTTAACAATTAAAACAACCACTGTTCCTCTTTCTGAAATCATCTCATCTGATTGTGAAGGACCTCTCTAATGCAAACCAATTAATAGTCAGCACCAGAAAGGAAAGGCTCCCCAACTGACCTGTATCTCCCTCTACTAGCAGCATTTTTCATGTTGTATGGATCAGTCTCTGAGACCCATAGCAGCAAGACAGCCACAAGAAATTTTTATCTGACAAATGGAATCTATTTTCAGTCCGGAAATGACACCAAATGCAAAGGAGACAAAGATATGCAATTTTCCAAACGACTTTACATGCACAGCAAACAGCAACAGAGCAAACTCATGATTTGCCACCAAAGCCAACTAATGCAGAAATATCCTTCAGGGTAGTCCTGCACGACCTTGGCAAGGCCCAAAGGTGAAGATGGAATCTGGATCACAGTGAAGCTGACAGCAATACCATCCTGCAGCAGATGAGGACTCCACTTAGAGCAGTCAGGACTAGCTCCTACTGATCCACTGACTACCATCTGACACCAGGACAATTCGTCTGGGAAGCTGTCTTGACTGCACTGTCAGGTGCTGTCTCAGTGCCCCACAGGATAGTATGATTTGTCAAGTTTCCTAGAGCCCTCCAGTCAACATTCATTCACTGCCTAATTCAATGAGCTGACACATTTTAAAAATGAACTTTATATTCCAGTATCTTTATGAATACAAAAAAAAAATCAAAGAAAAACAGGATGAAACCAGCTAAGTCCTCAATGTCTCCAAATGGTTCAATGGAGCTGGTAGCAGAGTAAATCTTTACAGGGTTTCACTGTACCAGATGCAGGAAGTCTGAGGTTGTGGTGACTGATAATGACAGCTTCTGCCTTATAGATGGGGTAAAATCTCTAACAGTTACTCAATTAAAACTAAAATTGAATTAAAAAGATAAAAATCTTCTTTCTAGCTGAAAAAGCTCAGGTTCTTCATCATTCATTTTGAATTGAAACCAAATGCAAGATGCTGAAAGAATGCTCTTCTCATTTTTGTACTGACTAGTTGCTTGCATCTGTTTCCTCCATTTTCAGACCAAAGAAATCACACCTTATTGTTAGTCACAGCCTGCAGGATCACTGACAAACTTCTGCTACTTTTCCGGACTTCCAGAGGGAAGGAGGACCACAGGACTAAGGAAATCCAATCAGCCATGACAGGATATGTTCTTGATTCCTTAAGAGTGACAAACTGGAGGCATGGCTAGGATCCTACCTAGAATATGACATTTGCTCCAAAAACCCTCACCACCTGGAAGTATAACCTGATAGATCCTTTTAGCTATTTATTTATGCAATGCCAGCTGAGAGAAATGCCTGCTAAATTTGGTTAGGAGATACTGAAGTTTATCAGTACAATCTTACTGCAAAACACAGAGTCCACATTCTACCTAAAACACATGTGCAAACCCCATAAGAAGTCAATATTGCATAGCTGACTGAGTGCAAAAATACCTCCCTCATCAATCCTTGCAAAAAGTCAATATGTTGGGCAAGAATAAAAGATATCACTATACAGCAAGTAAAACTGAAATACTGTTTTGCTTCATAAGAAAAAGGTAAGTTATCCACATTCAGGGTAGTCTCCCTCCAAATCACTAAGAAGAAGAAAATCAAGTGGTGACATTAAAATATCTTACAACTATCAAGTCACACAAAATGTCAACATATCGGGAAAATTAAACTCACTCAAAATCATTCAGGAAGCTGTTAAGTGTATAGTCTCATATATTAGGGAACACAGGAAAAGTAAAAGCTATTTGCACAAGTCGAAATACCAAGGACTTTAAAATTGCAAAAAACTTTGAAATTTTCTTGAAAGCTTACACATACCACTTTCTGTTTGAGATCATAATAAAGCAGTACTAGGAATACTCATGGTTCATTCTTTCATACACATATAAAAATGCCAGTGCTCCTCACAGAACAGAGAGCCACAAAAAACTTGAGGCTGTAGAAGCATTGCTGCTAATACGAATGACACTTGAACAGGACAAGGTTGCCATTTGATTATTTCCAAACAAAATAAAAGGCATCATGTAGCCATTAGATATTTCCTTCATTTTGTATATGCAAAGTTGTATGTGTGTTTACCTTTTTTGGGGGGTTGAGTTTCTTTCGTTTTTTTTCTTTTACTTATGGATTTTTTCCCAGTAAGTTGCTAAGAAACTAACTACTGGGTACTTATGCATACTTATGGGATGGATACTTAACAAAGACAAAAGAAAGTGGCTGAAGTCGGGAGAGGAGTGCAGCCTCTGGCTGCACTTTTTTCTCGGGGAGACACCTTTGCACTGTGGATGGAACACACAGCCTTTAAATTAAATTACTTCAGTTTTCACAGCACTTAGAAAATACATGTTATGATCCAAGTGGCTATCAAGAAAAGAGGGAACGTGAATCTTTTTTTTCTCTCATGTCTGACTGGAAATGCTAAAAACTCAACTCTCCACAAAAGTACATGACCTGGACTGCACATCTGAACCCATCATCCTTTTAGGTCAGGAACTAAGCTTCAGCTCTAAACAGTGAAAATATTTATCCTAAAAACCCCCATTTATCTGCTATCTTTTATTGTCATTAATTAAAATCTGTAAGAAAGATTATTCTGGGCAGATCCTCAGCACAGTGCCCAGAGAAGTACTCTCATGAATTCCTCAGCTGTTTTACCTCTGATCTGGAGAACCTTTTCTCTTTAAGCTCAGTTGTGGGGCCTTTTTTCTGTGGTGTCAGGACAGGATACAGCATTGGCTTAGTCATTACCACTACAATTTTGATGTAAATAGTCTTTCTTGCCTCCGGGGAAGAAAGTATTCCTAAAAACTTCTCAGAACTATGTAATGTACTGAAAGAATTCTGCTCCATAGGCTGGGGCTTTTGCTTATATTCTTTAATTACTCAAGGTAAGACAAATAGGGAACATACACTGGTAGCTCCCCTGTGCATGTATTTGACTCCCTGGAGCCACAGTCTGAGCTCCTTCTTTTTCTTAATACACACTGATTACAAAGATACGTAACAAGCAAGCAAAATAATGAAGCTGAAACCTTTGAATAAAGAAGGAGCTCTTGTGAAAGAGGTTTAATGATGTTCACCACCTGCATTCATCCACACACAGAGACTAAGAATGGATGTATGCAGCAAATTAAAGAAGTAAAGCACTGAAGAAAAAAGGATTGAACTCCTCTTAACTACTAATAGAAGACATAACAAATGACTTACTAGAACCAGACAGCAACAGAGTATACTTCTTAAAGACTGCAGTACATTTTTAGGCTTTTATATTCAGCACAAATTCTGGGAAATATCAGAATTTCTGCATGTTTGTAAATTCTCAAAGACAAAATGATTGTTCACTTGCCTAACAATTACTACGGGCAATAATAAAGCTCAGATGCAATATGAGTTTTGTGTTGATCTCTGATGCTATATAATGATGCTATCTATTTTTGAAGAGAACTACAGAAAACACTTCAGTGTCTTATCTTCAAGGGAAAAGGAAAGACAGACTCACAAAGAGGAGAAAAGCCAACAACCACCAAGAAGCAAAAGAAGCTATGAGAGACTGGAAAGTAAAAGCCTAAGACAAGGCTTCTAACCAGCATCTGTTCATCTCCTAACCCTCAGTGGCATTAGCCTGTCCTCAAAACTTTGGAGGCAAAACAGTAAAACAAATATTAACATAATAATTACAAAAGCTATTACTTTTATTCTAGTGTGCTGATTGTGTTCAAGTTCTTTTAGATCTGCACCTAAATAACAGCAATAAGTAATTAGATTACCAGACAAAATTGAGAGAAAAAACTTCCCATTAAGGTTCCATCCCTTTCTTTCACGAATAGCCCTTGGCAGTTTTGTAACAGAAAAATTAGCTAGATTAAAATGAAAAAATTACAATAGAGCTTTAGGTATTCTTAGGTTCTTGTTCTGGGTGATATAAAATGCTGTAACCTCAAGCAGGAACATCAAATTCCCCTTGAGGACTGGTCTTGCTCCTGTTCACATACAGCATATAGTAAAGAGTTCTTCAAGTTATTAAAATTGATTGCACAACAAAATCAGTAAAAGCTATCGCACATCAACTGTAATCATCTAGATGAGTACAGAAAGCATTTTGTATAAAGAGCATTTTGTATCTCAGTAAGAGACAGCAGATTGAGCATATCACCTCACTGAACTACAGAAATTATCTGCAACTTCCTTTGCATTGTTATCTTTCTGCACACAAGAAACTGGCCAAGTCTCATGTCATTTTTGCAAGCCCATACCAGTTATATACTGCATAAGTACAGAAAAGTTTTAGAAAACCATTTTTTCCTAAATGTGAGGAATAAAATTTAAAACTATATGTAGAATTCAGCATCTGTTTTCTGGGTGGAGTGCATAGGGGGGTGTGTGTGTGTGTGGGCATAACTGGAACTGAAAATATTTTTCAGACACATACTGAATGCATTTCTTAGCCCAGATTAAAACAGATGATGCACTTGAGGATAAACCAATAGTACCTAAAAATGTCATTCTTTTTATTACCTTTTAATCTAGGAGTGCTTGTTTTAATTATCCATTGCTCATTCTACCCAAGTTTGAATTAAAATAGACAATCAGATGATTGATAAATGCTAGTATCTTTTCTCTAAAGGGATTTATGTAAAAAGAAACATCTCCACTTAGAAGGGCATTACAATCAGGTGACAAAATAAATTTAAAAATGGACTGCCTGTGCATTAGAGTCCAAACAGTCTCTAAATAAAAACCTAAATTTAAAACCAGTCTCTAAATTTAAAACTGAATTACAACAAAATGTATAAATACTAAACTTCCAGCCAATGCTCATGTTCTCTGTGTCCATCAATTCTTTGACAAAAATGATAGGGAATGCATAGAATTGGTCAGGAAAAAAAGCAAAACTTTGTAAGAACAGAACCTAAATAGGAGGAGCCTCCATCCATTGATCAACAGGAAGGTGTTACAACAATTAATCAGCTATGCACTAAAAAGGCAGCACAACAAATCACAGCCAGTTTCCAACAAAGTCAGCAATAAACTCACCTGAAGGCACTGGTACCATTAGTAAGGCAACTGATACAATTATACCCTGAATCAATATATTAAAAGCAAGTCTTTTGGTAGGGGATGACAACTGAAGTACATTAACAATATTAACTGGGGCCTTGATCCATTACATATTGTTCATCCATAATCATAAAATTTTAAAACAAATGTCCTTTTTAAATGGATGATGGAATAGCAGATTAGCACATCCTAAATATTTCTCTACCTTTTTAGGATATGTATTTAAGCACCTGCTCGACAAAGAGTGGAATAAACCATTTGAAAATATTAATCTCTACCAGCAAAAGAGGTAATACCAGTTGATAAAGAAAAACCTGGAAAAAGATCATCCTGCTTCCCTAAATGCCAAGAATAAGAGCAAACTTTGAACTTAGGAGATGAAAAAAATCCCCAATCTTTCTTTTTTGCATTGGTGATTTTTTAGCATGAAATATATGTCACAATATTATAATCCAACTTTGCATTTCTGTAATGAGATTTCAGCATTTTTCTGAAGCAACAGAATAGGAGATGAAATAAAAAGCAATTCCCTTTGAACAAAAAACAGTCTCATAAAGCATAACAACCCTTACAGGCACAAAAGTACCAACTGTGATAAGAAATCTACATTGTCATATGGTCCACATGAGTTTTTTGTAAGAGACCAGGCTTCATACAAATAAGACTGTTATTATACAACACTCCTCTAGATGTTTTCAAAATTTTGGCACATTCAGAAAATGCAGAGAGAAACGAACTCCAAAAAATATAAGCAAGGGGCATAACAGAGCAATGAGAAAGCATAATATAACCCTTTCCTGAATGGAAAATAATAGCAGTAACAAGGGAGAAAGAGAAAGGATGCTGGTTTATTTTCCTTGAATGTTGTCACTTGCAATAGAAGTGGCCTGGATCACAGGGCAGTTTTTCTAAGGGCAAGGCTTCTCTACCTTGCTGTTGCTGGCTGGACATGACCAGGGTAAGATCTCCTTGTGCTCGTGGCTTGCCTTTGTCTAGCCAGGAAGGACTGTCCTGAGCCTGTACTAGCCAGTCTGTCTTCTGCTGCTTTTTTGTGCAGAGTCATCCCCTATGGGCAAAGAGAATTTTACAGTGAATACCAATACAAAACATCTTTATTAATTTACATTTTGTTCATTACTTGTCTTCACACTGACTAAACTAGTTTGAATTCCACACACAAAGCATCTTATTTTCAAGGACAAAGGTAAGATATTCTTCTTAATACTCTGGGTGGAACTCTTCTCCTTCCCTGCTGTCATTCTCCAGGTTTAGAGTAACCACCTAAGAACACAATATATGCTTCTCATGGCAATTGGACAAATCTTTTCAAAAGGACTTTCCCCAATTCCTGGCTCCTTTCAGGATGCTGACCTAGAAAAGTACTTTTCTTCTGAAAAAAAGTTTAGGTATTGTCATCATCTGTGGAAACACCAACTCCCGTGTCAGAAGCACATTTTGGGAGAGAGTATGTTCTCATCAGTCAAAAATGCAATGAGAAGCTGTGGTGGGTTGTGCAGCTGTGCATAAAAGCAGAGGCTAATGAAAGAATGATACAGACAAAGCTATCAGTGACCATCTTCATGATAGATCACTGAACTGTGAGTCTTACCTCAGGCTTGTCTTCTACGTGTCAGGGGGACTAATACTATAAAATTGGCCAAGGACAGTGGTCATTTGAAAGTACCTTCAATATGTAACCAATTCAAACACTCTGCTTGAGTTTAGACTTGCTATTCATGAAGACAAGAAGGATGTAGAACAGCAAGAAGAAAACTCTTCCAAAGGAATACAGAGAGGAAGAATTTGAATTCTATGATTGAGCAGAATAAAACATTAAAGTTATAGATATCTATATAGATGTTATCTATAGATGTCTAGAGCAGATGTCAAGTTACAGATGAAGAGCAGTTTTAATGCAACCAACCAGTCTGCGAAAGGGAAGTCCTGAACACATCTGATGTGGGGGACAACTCTCCTGGCACACAGGCCCAGCAAAAGCTGTATGGTTGCAAAGACTCCATCTTCTATCCAAACTCTTCTTTGAATAATTTAAGTGAGGGTTTTGCTGATGTCCTCACTCTTTATATAGGGCTAAATTTGCACTCAAGTTAAAGGGGTCATTTCTCTGAGCACTCCAACTGAATTGCAAGTAAGATGAATTGCTTTGATTGTGCCCCTTCATTAGAAACAACTGGAAGACTGGAAAGTAGTGAATCAAAGTAAATTTGAGGACTGTAATTTGCATAAGTGAAGGGCTGGGATTACAAAATAGTGATCTGAGCCATTTCTGATTTTAAAACCTGAAAATTATGAACTTCTTTTTTTATTTTCCAGAAGATTATTATATGAACAGACTCTTACATAGTGATAACTTAAGATTACTAAAAATTGCTTCTGTGTATGTGTGCTGGAAAATGCTTATCAAACAAAAATACTGTTATAAACATGCCAGAAACAAATAATATTAATAGTTTCTTTTTTTTATATTTTCAATTAAAAGGTTTGTGAGATTCTTACCATGTTGTACCAGGCACTAACAATATATTTCTCCTCCATTTCTCTTTGACTTTTTGTTTTCTCATACTCTTTCTATAAAACAAAAAAATCCATATATTTAAAGCCGAAGTATAATAGACGTATTAGTCTCTAACTAAAAGCAATGAGTTTTTACCACAAAACCACAACAATTACTACCTCCAGCGAATGAAGCATTCTGTCCCGCTCCTGCAACTGATTTTTCAGTGCCTGAATCTCTGGAGCAGCACCCTGGTTCTGTTTAGGATCTAATGTGCGGATGACCTGTTAAAGAAAACCAGTTTGATTTTTATTAAATCCTGGAAAAGCAATCTTGTTAAGGAATTAAAACCTTTTAAGTCAGGTTAAAAAAAAAAAAAGTAACTTAAAATATGTCTACCTCTCTCATCAACTGTGACATATTAGAGCATCTGAACCTTCCTTTACAGGACAGGGAAACAAAACTACTGACAACAAAAAGTGATACCTAAATGGTTCAGTATCCCAGACTGACATTTGCAGTTCCTAACACAGGCTACATTTCCTTGGGGCCATAGAGACACAAACAACTTCTATAAGGTTTCTCTTTTCATGCTATGATTTTCCTGCCTGTCAATTTCTCCTGCTTGAGGAAGGACTGCTTCTGTCCTTATGTATATTTGCCATGCTTCACCTACCTGGGGTACCAGGTGCTGTAACTTCTAGGTAGCTCTGTTAAGTCAAGCACTCTGTGGTACATGCGTAATTGTTATGCTACTAAAAAGATGAAGGGACACATACAGTTGTATGTGTCATCCAAGAGTGCTAGCAAACAGAGCTAAACCAAGAACAAATCCAGCAAATTGCCTGAATTATTAAGCCTTTAATAGAAAATGGCTTGAAACTCTAACAACCTCTGGCTATATAGAAACAGACTTCTTTTATCTTTCTACCTATTTCAGAGTTGTGTCCAGATGCTGAAATAAAAGAATGCTTTAAATTTAAGTGAGATCTTTTTACTGTATGGTAAACATATAAATCCTATGACGAGTGGCTGAGGGAACTGGGGGTGTTTAGCCTGGAGAAAAGATAACCCTGGGAGCCCTTATCACTCTCTGCTTGAAAGGAGGTTGTAGCCAGGTGGGAGCTGTGGCCTCTTCTCCCAAGCAACCAGTGACAGCATGAGACAACATGGCCACAAGCTGTGGCAGGGAAGGTTTAGGTTGAATTCCGTAGGCGTTCATGGAACTGGATGTGGCACCTAATGCCATGGTCTAGATAACACAGTTATAATCAGTCAAAAGCTGACTTGATGATCTTGGAGATCTTTTCCAACCCAAATGATTCTGTTTCTATTCTATAAAAGCATTTTATTTTTCTAAGAAAATACTCATTAGACCTGGATATACCTTCCATAGTGGAAGACAATATTAATTCTACAAAAAAAACCCCGTGCAACAAAACCCATCAATAACAACAAAAAGAAACAAAAAAACCCAGCCAACCCAAACACAAATAAAATGAAAGCTGTTAAGATGATGACAAAAAGTTAACCTAAGTAATTAATGTGACTGTCCTATAAAACACCGTTTAGTAAAACTGTACATACAAATATACAAATCTTACTGAAAAGGGAATTGCTGTCTTTCAGTGGAATATACTCTAAGACAACAACAGCCAATATAAAAGGTGAGGGCAGGGGGGACAGAAGAAATTTTTTTAGACTTCCTGAGACATTTCACAAGAAATCATTCAGGAAACTCCAAATAAGTAAAGTAAGAAAGCAAAGTTTTGGCAAATTAGGAACCTACTTACAGATTCCAATGTAATGGAATGCGTTTAAAGACACTGATATGCTTTTAAGATACTCAAAATAACAAAGTATAGTAAGAGAAGAAATGGGACTAGGAGTAAGACCACAGTATTGCCATTTCAAAGCTAGCAGTACACCCCTATCCCCAACACTTAAATATTAGTCACCTTCTTGACAGAAGCATATATTAAGCAATAAAGGCAAAAGAGAATGCTGAACAACATCAGAGAAATCTAACAACTACTGAAGGCAATTCAGTCAAAAAGATGACTTTACTGCAAAAAAGCATCAATAAAAGAGTCTCAAAAATGGGGTAATCTTTTGCAGAATTTATCCATATTAAATACTAAAACAATAAGATGACAATCAATGGAGCTTCCTTCTCTTTAACTTATTAGTGTGTATACAGATAACTACTTCATTTTTATTCCTACACAGTGGACACATAATACAGTCTCAGTCAGACAGGTGTGGAACATATCAACTTACACTCTTGGCCTTTTCCAAATATTTTTTGTATCGTTCTTCCATTTGTTTCATTTCCTCCTCCTTTTTCCGTAGAGCTTCTTGCAATTCCTCAATTTTAAGTGCTTTATGTCAGGAGATGCACACATTGGAAAATAACATCAGTTTATTACGCATATTTTTATATTTTACAACAGACACTTAAGACACAGCTAAAACATATTTTAGTTAAGAAAAGCTGACAAGAAATCTGATGTGGCAGGTATCACAGATTTAACTACTGTATGGCTCTAACACATTAAAATATGTACTCCTATAAAACCTCATAAAATAGAATTTTTGGGATATAATTTTGCTTTCAAAAATTCTCCCAAATAAAGAGAAATGGAATAATAAAGCAATCACATCACTGAACACATTTAGAAAATGGGTTTACTGATGACTTACAGCTACTATAATATCTTAGCATGTATTACAGGCAAATACGATTTTTTTTGTTTTATGGAAGTGGAATAATTCCTAAAGGCAATTCTAAGAGGCACAACTCCTGCTTAAATCTACGAAATTGTAACATGGAAATACTAAATATAATTTTCTCCTCATATTTTCTTAAGCAGCAGTTGAGACCAGTAGGACAATTTAATTGCACAGATTTTTCCTTTGTTGGTATAAGAATATGTCAAGCCACTATTACTTCTACATCTTCTATACAACTTCTCAGATCTCAGAAAACAACATGATATTTTTCTATTTTTTGCTCCATCTCACTATGAATAAAATAATTTTACCACAAACCAGAAAAGCTGCAATTGGTTACAATCTCTTGCCTTATTCTTGAATAACTAGTCTTTTGAAAAATCCAGACTACCTCCCTCATTACTGTTCTGGAAAAAACATAGTAATAATGTGCTAAAAAAACATCTAGATGCTGGGTTCTGAATACCCTCTGAGCAATATGATACATATCTTACATCCTTTGATCAGTAACGGAAAATTTGCTCAAATTACAACACGTTTTTGAAAACACATTGAAGGAATATACATTGGAAGTAAAAGTGAGTCAGTGACAACAGCAAGGATCTTCTAAATTAGAGTCTTATGAGACATGACAATTCTGGACAGCTGAGGTTCAATGGCAGTGAGCTGGTATTTCCACAGCCAATGCCACTGGGGTTTGGGACTAGATGATCTTTAGGGTTTGTTCTAACCTCTTTAAGGCTCATTCTAACCTCATTCTACAATTCTATGATTTCTTACTATAGTGTTTCTAAAATGTGACTCCCATGCATTTCATGTGTTAAAAGCATCTTTTTGGTCATCCTAGTTTCCAGAGAAATTTAACATGTCACTTCCATTAAAAAAGTACATTTTTGCTTACCTGACACCTTCTTTAGGCATTATAATTAAAGATGTTGCACCTGAAATAATTTACAAAGAAAAGAAATGGACTGCACAGGTAACTCACAACTGTTGTTGCATCTTGGTTCCAAATCTTCAATGATAGCTCGTTTCTTCTGTAGCTCATTGTTGGCTTCGTGGAGCTTCTCTCTGTTACAAACCACAGAAGCACATATTGTTTCCCCAGCAGTATTACTGTGCTTGAAATGAGCGCTAAGCAGAACAGAAAATCCTCAGCGAGAGATTATTTCTATAGACATGACAGATTTTTTTTTTCTACAGAGCATGAAGACAAGTGACAATATTACTGTAGAAATACTTGTTAGTTAGGATGAAAAACATTGTTCTGTATGGATAACTGCAACAGCAAACAATTTCTTTGTCAATAACTGTACTTAATATAGAACTTAGAGTTAATTGTACAATGAAAGCCTAAAATGAATACTCATAACTGGTATTACATTGAGGAAAGAATGGCTAAACCCAAAAGCAACAGAAACTTTTTTTTGCAAGACAGTCAAAAAGCAAATATTCTTTTAGGGAAGTAAAAGATTTGCAAAAATAGCACAATAAAATGGCAGCACTTTCTAAAGTATTACTTCTATGACATAATGTATAATAAATAGTAAACAAACTAATTTTGTTCATATTAACATGCTTCCCTCAGAAAAAAATTACTTTGTTCTCTTGAGCAAAGATTTGCACAATGTTAAGCAAAGTTTTCTACCTAACACAAGATGATGGTTCCCTCATTGCTCTTAATTTTGCAATGGTTTTCTATGGAAAAAATTAGAATCTGAACAGCAGATTCCCAAATATTCCTGTGTTATCTAATCTCTCTTAGTTGCATATTTTCCAGATCCATCACAAATGACTGCCTTCCTCACTATATAGAAAAACACATAATTTCAAACTGTAAACAAAATAGAGAAACAAAAATACTTACAGATGTTCTTCAAGTTTCTTCTTCAGAAGAACTGACTAAAACAGAAAGTTAAATGTTTTATTTTAATATACTGTGAAGCTTTAATGTATTTTTAAAATTATTTTAAAACATGCAATTTTGACATTCCAACCAAAATCCAACTTTTAAACTTCAGTTTTAAATCACAACTGTAAAGCATCTGTAATACCTTTCTCTTCACAGCTGTGTGACTTTAGTAAAATTAGAACCCTTCAGAACTTTACAATTATTTTCCCAGGAACTAGATCAATAAAAGTAAAATCCATAAATGACAGTATTGGAAGGCAGTTGTTATAATTTGTTCAGTACTTTGTATTGGAAAGTGCAGCAAAATTTGCAAGGAAAGCTGTTCTACCAATATTGCATTGCAACTTGCATGAAGTCATGTAGCAAATTAGTTGAAATAAATTCCCATCCCCACAGAAACTAGAAGGAGTAGAGTATTTCTAACTGCAGTGTAGCAAAAATGTCACCTTTTTTGTGTTTCTTATCTTTATTGATTACAGACACATAAAAATCACCACACAACTTACAGTGTTCCACTTCCTGGTTAAATCACAGTTAGGTAAGCTCCTTGAATAAAAACTTTGGAACTAACTTTTAAACTTTAAACTCACTTCATACATAGTGAGTATTTTTCAAAAGGAAAAAAAAAAACCCAACTCAATAAATGTTTATGAACTGAAAGTAGTGTTAAGTAAATAGAAAGCCATACTCACAATAGCCTTGAGCAGAAGCCCATGCCAAGAAACAGAGATGACATTAGTATAAAGCAAAACAGCAGCCAACAGAAGAAACTATTTAGAAAGTCATGAACAGAAAAAGTTAAAGCTATGCATTTTCACGCATGTGCAATTTCCTCCTCTGTTCTCATGAGCAATTCTCATCTTGTAACATTTTCTAAAGCATGGCACTAAACCCAAAAATATAAAAAGAATAAAGAAGCACATTTACAAATCATTGTGTTTAAATCAGAATTCCAAAGGAAAGCAACTTCTATTTAGGAAAGTAATTTTAAAACAAAAATCATATAACTAAGAAAACCAAGGAAAATAGCCAGTCTGTTGGGCTACTAGAATTAAGAGATGGCAGGTGTTTTTGTGATGTGATGCTAAATTGTGTTATTGCCACACTGATTGAATACAAAGCAAATGTAGAATATTTAAATCTGCAACTGCCTTTTTAATTTGTGTTTATACACTATTAATCACATGGAAGGGTTAGGACATGACTGATGGTCCACAACACCATCAAAATACAAGACAAAATAATCAACAAAATTACTTCATTGTTTTTTCTCCAATGTTCTTTCTACAAAGATTTAGTCACCTTGCTAACAGAAAAAATTACTGTGTGCACTCAAAAAGCTTTTTACTTTGGTTATACTTCAAAATATTGTCTTTGATCACATTCCTGGGGCACATTTTTACATTATTACAAGAGATTTTCTTATTGCATGACAAGAAAGGTGGGGAGCCATAAGAACAAGTCAACACAGCTCTACTGATTTCACAGTCAGAAATTTGCAGCAGCTAAAGATCTGCAGGTTTCGACCACTGACTTTTTTCTTTTTTGCAGTACCCTGAACAGCTGCAGCAACACTACCCTTTATGTAACCAAAAATATTTGCATGCATCTTTATCAGTCACAAATCATTTGAACTGTCCCGATCACTTGTACCTGATAATTTAGGGGACTACCGGCTGCCTGGGAAGGGGAAAAACCTGGAAGCAGTGACCATTTCCCTAAGATAACAAAATCAAAATTGAACTCAACTTTTTTTTTGCATCCTTTTATTGCACTTGGGTTTATCTTGAAACAGACACAACTAGTACTCAACACTGATTCCCCATGTGTATTATTTACCTAGTATCTGCACTGCTGAGGGGGTAACCTCTCTCCCAGCTATACAGATCATGTTTTCATACGCAAGAAACTAATTGTGATAAACAGCCCAAACAATTAAAAGAAGTAGAAATGAGTTTACCCACATTAAATTACCCAAGACACATGATTAAGAAAGAGACTAAAACACTCAATGTGCCATTCTAGGTACCCAAAGACCCTGTATATACTTGGCAGATAAAGTCAGACAGATCACTCTAAAAATGGGCAAAGACTACTTCTGAGATTTTTGCAGTATCAAAAGTAAGCTTTAAAGACTGATAAAAATCTAAAAGGGTAATTGCTATAATTTTTGCTCTCTCACAGGAAGACAAGTCTCCTGAACACTACAGAAAGAGAAGTCTTTTTGCTTGAAGTTCCTTTAATGCTTAAACAAACCAAAGGAACAAGTCTGTCCTATTTTTCAGGGCAAAATTTGGTTTAATTTTAGATGTTAAAGTTAGGGGCAGATGGTTATGTTCCGGCCTGAGGTTAAGCTACCTTAGCAGGGTGTGGGTCATCACGTCAGAAGACTACTGGATGAGATCAGTAACAATATGAGGCGCTGAAAGTCACAAAACAACACCATGATGCATGGTCAGATTTTCAAGAATGCTGAGAGTAATGACAGAATGGTTTGGGTTGGAATGGACTTTTAAGGGTCACACAGTCCAACCCCTTCAAGAAGCAGGGACTCCCTCAACTAGATCAGGTTGCTCAATGCCCTGTCCAACCTCGCCTTGAATATTCCATGGATGGGTCATCCACAGCTTCCCTGGGTAACTTGTTCCAGGGTCTCACCAAATGAAAAAGTGACTGAACCTCATGGCTAACTGAAGAGGCAACAGAATTCTAGGGACCTTTTAGGGAGGTGTTTATCAGTAACAGCATGTAAGGCCAAGACTGCATATGTTACATTATAAAAAACATTAGGTGTGGGATGGATTTAACAAGTGGTTCAGAAATAACTAAAGGCAGGGTGTGTATATAGGAAGGGATTAGGGCAGAGAACAGGAGAATGAGGATGATAAAAGACAGTGATAAGACATGCAAATTATGTAGTCAAAGCTGTTCAGATAACTGTTGAGTAGTCCCACATGACTACTACATTCTGGGGGACAATAAATCAAACCTATTCTGAGCACACCAGACACATCTGAGTTGATTCTGTAGTCTGAAAGATGCGGGTACGGAGGCCTTTGCCTGGCTAGCAGGGTAACACTCCAAATGGACTAATTATGCATCCCAGATGGGTGGGAATGAACAGAATGTGCCAGTGCCCATTACAGGCTCAATGGCACACAGCTGTTTTCCACTGCACTTCAGTACAAAATCAAAGCTGTTTGCCCTTGTGGACCTTGGCACAGAGCATGTAACACTACAAGGACACTTGCCTGGGTTACGACACTACCTCTACCCCTTTTTGGGCATGTCTAAAAATAACTTCAGCTTTAAAACGAAACAAAACTTTAAAAAACCAAACTAAACCAACAAACAAACAAAAAACCCCAACAAACTGAGCTCTCACCATACATTTCAGGACTGAATTAAAATGAATTGTCAGGACTGAGCACATTTCCAGTATAAGTACATAAAAATATGAACCTCAGTGTAATTTTGCATAAAAATAGCAAAAACCAGAGGAAAAGAGCTGAAAATTATGTACTGGTAAACTGTATGCTATGTCTCTCCTACTGCTTTTTCTTATGTTTCTGAAGAATCACTCTTTTTGTATGCCTATCCTACAGATAACTCAGGTAGTCTCAGCCCAAATTCAACCCACTAGAGCAGCTGGGTTTAACTTCTGATGTTTGCTCTGCTTTACAAGGGAGATTGCATGAGGAGACCACAATGGTTCTTGCATCTTCAATATTTCCCTGACTCTACACTCACCCTTTTACTTCCTTAAGAGTAAATTAATTCTACAGATTGAACTCAGCAAAACATGCCATGGGATCACCATGCTATGGTCAGACCAACACAGAAGCCATGTGTGCAGACACCCTAAATTACTGACCCAACCGGAGCCTCTAAAGGGACAAAATTTAAATTGCTGCAAATAAAGCTGAATACAACTTGACAGAGATAATTTACAATACTCAGTATCTGAGAATAATTCTTTCATATTTGTGTTCACCCTGAAAAGATTTTGGCCAATAATCAAGACAACAAAGAATATCTCAGACTAGACCTATTTTAATGTGCATTCTAAAACACATTGTAAGTTACTCAGGAAAATAATCTTGATGAAAATCAACTAGATGTTTAACATTCATATAGTTTATTCTGAAAATTTAAAGGGTAAACTAAATTTAACATACTCTTAAATTTAAATTTACATAAGCATCTAATAAAAAAACCTTTCACTAGTTTATATAAATTAGTTAAAACAAACCCACAAAAACAGAAAGCAGCACACTACAGTTTGTTGCCAGTTAGCAACATGATACACTGAGATTGTGAGCATACACTATGCAAGTACAGTCCAAAAAATTGCTGCTTTCAATAAAGTTATAGAGCTTCCTTTTTGAAATACAGGAGATAAACAATTTTTTAGTGGAAGACTGAAAGCTGTTTTCCATGCTAACTCAGCTACAATGTGTATTCTTACATTTAAAATACAGTTAATCCTGTATACAGAAACAGGAAAAGCTGCATTGTGTTGAGGGCCTAATTATTTGACTTCTTTTTTAGTTTTGGACTGTCTGGCTCTTTTCATTCTGAGATTACATTTACAGGAAGAACTACGGACCTTTCAGTGGCTGGAAAGGCCTTTCATTAAGAAAACTAAACCCAAAACAACTTCAGATGTTTTATTCATGAAGAATCAACATTTTCTCAATTCCCTGCAAAGATCTCTATTCTAATTAAATAATTTAAATGCTGAGTTTTCTATTGCAACAGACACAATTATTCAAATTAAACATGCATGACACCTTCTCTACATAGGATGGTTTTTTCTTCTAGACAATTGTCTTACATCCTAGTTAGAGAAGCACAATTTATTGGTAAGACCATACATATGCAAAACTACTAGAAATCTCAGTTTGTATAATTCTTTTACTTTTTTTTTTTTACAAAAAGGTGAAAGTTTCAAATATGGCAACTAATTGAATGTAAGTTTGATGTACATTTCTACTTACATCTTCAGCTTTTGAACCTTGATCCTGCAAAGATTTTTGTAGTTCTTCAACCTGGGACTGTACTTCCAGAAGCCTCTGATTTACCAATCTAGGAAAGAGACATAATTTCTTTTTCAGAAAAAAAACCAAACTGCAATAGGCAGTCTCAGATTTTTATCAATTTTTAGTGTCTAGTGTTTTCAGATCATCTATACAAAAAAATGCAATACTATAAATTATTCACAAGAAAATTACAACAGGAGTTAAGAACTTACAGCAGTTCCAGAGATTATAATACCCAGATGTTCATCCAGAACATTCTCATATTCCTCAAGGACAACATAAATGCATGCAGAAGTCAGTTCTATATACATGAAAGAAGACCTTTTAACAGTCAGTTTTACTGTGAGAGAGCTGCTAGCTTTTGCTTCTACACCATCACTGAAAGCTATAAACCTGTAGGTTGGAAGAGATGTCCACAGGTTGCCTAGATCCAACCTCCTCCTTAAGGCAGGTGCATTTACAGCAGATTGCTGGGAATCATATCCAGTACCAGGTTCAAGCACTTGTAAGGACAGAGGTCTAACAGTCTCTTTGGGCTTCTCTACTAGAGTTTGGACCATACTCCATATTTTGTCTGTTGCCTCTTGTCCTCCCCCTAATAATCTCTTGAGAATAGCCCAAATCTGTCTTCTTTCTACCTTCCCATCAGGCAGATGCAGTTCACAGTACTCTCATCTATGTCACCTGTCCTTTGGCCTGGACAAACCCAGTTCTCAGTTTTATCCCACCTATCACACATTACATCGTCTCTCACCTCAGCAGTATTCTGCTGCACTTCTATACATCCACATTTCTCTGGTACTGTGGAATCCAAAACTACATGCTCTGTCCAGATGTGAAAAGTATTGATCATCATTATAAGTTCTGATGAGGTGAACAATCATTTTCACAGACTGACAGCCTGCACCTCAGTGAGGACTGTCCAGATCACAGTCAACTGCAAGGTCCCCAGATAACACATCCTCCGTTGCCACCCACTTGGACCCCAGCTCTGCTGCTCCACAGCCAGGGACAGGAGTCTCATCAGTTCCTTTCTCTGGACTGTTGAGCTCCTCTGAATAACAGTTCTCCCTTTCAAAAGGACATCCCGAAGTGGTATCATTCTCAAACTTGCTAAGAGTAGCCCCTTTCACCAGTGAAGTTATCAATAAAAGTAACGAACAGTGCTGGTACTGATGACTGAGGAATTGGTTACCAGCTGGGTTTCATTTCCCTCACGATACTACTTTAGGCTCAGCTGTCTGTTCACTGTGCAATCAATTTTTTTTTTGCTCACCATTTAACTGGCCACTTATTTAGTTTATATCCAGGCATTCTGAACATAAGGATAACATGGGACACTTTAACAAAGGCTTTGCTAAAGCTAAATATCGTCCTCTCACCCTTCTTCACATACGCAATCATTTCATTGTCAAGGCAACTGGATTAGTTAGGCATGATTTGCTCTGAATAAATTCATATTGGCATTTGCTAATTACTTTTCTGTCCCTCATGCAGCTGAAAATAAATTCCACATGGACTTGCTTTGCAAAATTTCCAGAAAGCGAGCTGTGGCTGACCAATCTCAATAGTTCCTCATGCTCTTTTTGTTGTCCTTCTTGAAGGTGAGTGCAGTATTTACCTTTTCTCAGGCATCAGGCACCTCCCCCAGTTGAAGGGGAAGACTGGGGAAGATTAGATAAGTAACAGATTCAGATTCAAATCTTAGTTACAAAGCAGCTTCACATCACTATCAGCCAAATACTGTGGCCTGCTCTGATGCACTCTGTCTGGTCTCACAGATGTCTCTGTGCTGACTGGTTCAATCAGCAGGGTCAGCTAGAGAAGGCTGCCAAGGAATATGTCCTGTTGAGTTTTAAATATCTACAAGGACGGAGACAACCTCTCTGGGCTACATACTCCAGTGTCCTGCAGCCCTCACAGTGAAAAAAAAAAGGTATATTCTCACATTCAGATGAAATATAATGTGTTTTAAGCTCTGCTCACATCCTCTTGCCATGTTACTGAGTGTTACTGACAAGCGTCTATCTCCACCTTCTTTAAACCTTCCTATCAGATACTTTGATAAGATACATTGATAAGATCTAACCTAAGCCTTCTCTTTTCCAGGCTACATAGTCTCTATCCCTCAGACTTTACTCATACAAAAGACTCTACAGTCCTATAATAACATCCTTGGGGCCTTTCACAGGACTGATTCCATTAAATCCATATCTTTCTTCTCCTGCAGATGCCTGTAGGAAGGTCAACTGAAGCAGAGGACAAAATTTCTTACCTGTTTTCTGTCTCCAGTTCATTCTTCCTTAAGTTTGCATCATCAAGAAGGCTCTGCAACAAGGCAATCTTCTCATTGTCAGAACCTTCTTGGTTCAATTTTAACATCTTGTTCTCATGTTGAAGGCGGATGAGTTTCTCCCTAAAGACATACAACACAATTTTTTTTAAAAAAAGGAATATCAATATCTACAACACAGAAAACATTTTACCATAGGAAGTAAAATAACAACATAAATATCATATTTTTAAGGCAGATGCTGCAACAACAATCATATCTTCAAACATCCAAATACAAACCCAACTTAAATTGTAATTGCAGAAGACATAACACAAAGAAATTACCTCAGTACTCCCATCAGATCTCAGAGTACAGCTCAACAAATATATAGGGAGAACCAAGAATGCAAAACTTAATACCAAGTGTGAAGAAAGACTGTAATCTCAGCTGCCACTAAACTACTGCATTATCCTGAGCAAGTAATTTCAAGTCTTAGTCTTTTTACACAGAATCACAGAAACTTTTGGGTTGACAAGACTCCTAAGATCATCAAGATCCAACATAAATCCAGCACTGCCAAGTCCACCAGAGAATCATGCCCCTTAAGCACCATGTCTACACATCTTTTAAATACTACCAGGGATGATGACTCAACCACTTCCCTGGGTTCAATGTTTGATAACCCCACCTGGTGAAGAAATTATTCCTAATATCCAATCTAAACCTCCCTGGCACAGCATCAGGAAAAACCACCTCATTACAACCTCCTTTCAGGTAGTTGTAGAGAATTATAAGCTCACCCCTGAGCCTCCTTTCTCCAGGATAAACAACCTCCTGCTCCTCACAGGACTTAATGCTCTAGACACTTCTCTAGCTCTACTGTCCTTCTCCGGACATGCTCCAGCCCCTTAATGTCCTTCTTGTAGTGAGAGGATGCAAAACTGGACATGAGATTTGAGGGGTGTCCTCACCAATGCCAATTACAGGGGGACAATCCCTGCCCTGGTCCTGCTGGCCCCTCTATTGCTGATACAGGCCAGGATGCCACTGGCCTTCTCGACCACCTGGGCACTCAATGGTTCATGTTCAGCTGCTGTCACCCAACACCACCAAATCCACACCAGAACAACAGGTGCCATCCACAGAGACATGGACAAACTGAAGAAGTTGGGCATAAAAACCTCATGATATTCAACAAGGCCAAGTGTAACGTCCTACACTTAGCCTATGGCAATCCCATGTATCAGCACAGGCTGGGGATGTGCTGAGGGAGAGCAGCCCTGTGAGAACTTGGGGGTGCTGGTGGGTGAGAGGCTGGACATGACCCAGCCATGGGCACTCCCAGCCCAGAGAGCCAAACGTGCCCTGGGCTGCATCCAGAGCAGCGTGGGCAGCAGGGCAGGGAGGGGATTCTGCCCCTCTGCTCTGCTCTGGGGAGAGCCCACCTGGAACCTGCATCCAGCTCTGGGCTCCCAGCACAGGAAGTATGTCAACTAATTCAAGTGAGTCCAGAGGAAGCTGCTAAGGTGATCACAGAGATGAAGCACCTCTATTAAAGCAGACAGAGAGCTGAGGCTGCAGTTGTAGATCAGACTCCAGGGATACCTTAGAGCAACTTTACAGCGCCTGAAAGGAGCCAACAACAGAGATGGAGAGAGATTTTTTTATAAGAGCGTGGAGAGACAAGACAAAGGTTAAACTGGAAAAGGGTGGTTTAGATTAGATATGAAATAGAAATTCTTTACTTTGAGGGTTTGGAGACAATGACAAAGGGAGTTCTGGATGCCCCTTACCTGGCAGTATTCCAGGCTAGGTTGGATGGAAATTTGAGCAATCTGGTGTACTGGAAGGTATCCTTGCCCATGGCACAGTAGGTGGAACAAGATTATCTTTAAGGTCCTGTCCAACCCAAGCTGTTCTATGACTCGACAATTACTACCCACTGTGCATCTTTTCAGCCACTCTTCTCCAAGCCTGCAGCACTATACACATTGTTGTGATGCAAGGGCAGGACTTTGGCCATGCTGAACTTCATACAACTATCCTCTGTCCACTGATACAACCTGTTCAGATTCCTCTGCAGTGCCTTTCAACCCTCCAGAAGATCAACACTGTCCTGAGTAACTCAAAATGTTATTGTATTCCATGTCTATCTGTGACCAAAATTGTTCCTCTCCTTCTGCAGCTGGAAAACAGAATGGTGGGGCAGGGGCTGGGAGGTTGCCCCGGGCTCTTTAAAAGTTGAAGCACTCAGGCAGAATCATTCTCGGCCCACTCTGGTGGACTCTTAATTCTTTCTTGGCCCTACTTGCTACAGTAGCAAGTAGAGATGCTCTCTTTCACAATCAAAAACTGTTTAAGAGTGAATTTTGCAACACCCATAGGCAGCCACTCCCTCAGTATCCTTCAGTGGATGCCAGCCAGGCCCATGGAATTGCAGGTGCCTTAGCGGCACAGCAGGTAGCATAGCTGTAAGTAGGCATAGCAGAGCGGTTTCCTCCTGTATTCCAGCAACTTTATTAAGTTTCTTGCATCTGTCTTCCAGATCAGTGGTGTTAGTATCAAAGACTGTGGCAATGGAGGCTTTAAATAGATCAACTTTCTCCTTATCCTTTATTGGTATGGTTCTCCCTGCAATCAATAAGGGATTGAGATTCTCCTTAACCCTCATTTAACTAAGTGGATGCATTTATAGAAACATTTTAAAATGTCTTTTATTGGCAGTAGCCAGAATAAGATCTAGTTGGGCTCTGGCTCATCTAATTTTCTCCCTGCATAACAGCACAACATCTCTGTATACCTCCTGAGTGGCTTTGCCCCTTCTTCCAAACATGATACAATCTTTTTTATCCCGAGTTCTGGCCAAAGCTCTCTGTGCAGCCAGGCCAGTCTTCCTGGCTCACCATTTGGCACACGGAGACAGCCAGTGCTCCTGCACCTTCCTTCCTGCCCTCCCAGACTCCTTTCCCCTTCAGGACTGACTTCCAAGCAACTCTGTAAACCAGACCATGCTTGGTAAATGGGTCATAGTCTGCCCTACAGAATTCCAAAGTGGAGATTCTGCTGGCCTCTCTCCTTAGTTCTCTGTGAATCAAAAACTCTACCATTCAGTGGTTGCTGTGCCCAAGAAGGCCTCTGATCATCATATAATCTACAGTCCTTTCCTGTTCACAGTGAGTCCACATTTTCCCTAGCTGGCTTGCTCAGCAGCTGTGTTATCTTCCACACAGTTGAAGAACCTTCCAGACTGATCCCTTTCTGCTGTGCTGCATTTGCAGTAGCCATATGGTAAACTGAAGGGCCAGCAATCTCAAGACCTCTCCCAGCTGCTTATAGCATAGTATCCTAGACAAGTGGTCTATAACACATGCACCAAATATCTGCCTTGTAGCCTTCCCCTTAATTCTTACTCAAAAATACTCAAATCTTGTGGTACCATCATCAAGCTACAGGCAATCAGAACAGGGCAACAAACAAGTAACTTTTTCTAATATCCAACATAAACCTTTCCTCAACACAAATTCAGACCATTCCCTCAGGTCCTGCCACTGGTCACAACAGAGAAGAGATGAGTGTTAACCCTTCCTCTTTGTCTCAAGAGGAAGGATAAAATCTCTGCTAAGTCTCCTCCTCTTCAGGCTGAACAGATCAAGTAACCTCAGCTGTTCATCACAGGGCTTCCCTCAAGGCCCTTCACCATGTTTTTGGCCCTCCTTAGGATGCTAAGAGCTTTATGTCTTTTCCATATTGTGGCACCCAAAACTGTACACAGGATTCTGCTCCAGTGCAGAGCAGAGCAGAACAGGACAATCCCTTCCCTTGCCTGGCTGCTGATGCTGTGCCTGATGCCCTCAAGGACACAGCTGGGCCTCCTGGCTGCCAGGCCATTGCTGACTAATGTTCAACTTGCCCATGACCATTGCAGAGGTTAGTAAAACAAAGCATGCATTAGCTTACTTTATTTCAGGAGTAATGATTTCTGCTGCTAAACTGTCTGAAGGTTCTTGTCCTCCCAGAGGCATCAATCCTGAGTAAGGAAAAGCATACCACTGACTTTTTCACATGACAAGAAGTAGACATTATTCTAGAAGCTTCACACTACTGCTAGACAATGTAAAATGACACAAAGTCAGGCTACAGAAAGACTGACAGACAAAAAGCATTTCATTTGGTGAACCATTACATCTGATTTCATCCATTCTGAAGAAATAATGTTACAATTTATTTCCTGCTCGTTATCTTATACTACAAAGGTGCGCAAGATTATACATACAAATTAACTATAACATCATGAGAAAATTTGTCTATAAAGAAAACTATGTAACTATATAGAAATCAGATATACACTATAAAAATATCCCACTGGAGAGGAGACTAAAATTCTGATTGATGCAAATAACATTCAAAGCTTTTGCTTGTTTATGAAGCTATGAATAGTTGAAGTTTTACACTACTGATTTTAGAAGAGCTTAAATTTATTCTGTGCTAAAAAAAAGCATATTTAATACTCTACAGCAAACTCATGTACACTTAAGAAAAGAGGCATTGAATCTCCTTATTTGTCCTTTACCTGTAGTGGTGAGTTGACCCTCCTGAGCTTGTACACATCTAAGTTCTTCAATAGTTTCCTTCAAAGAATCCCTTTCTGTTCTTAATCTCTGAATAATTGGAAAGAGAATGAATATCAGTCTTGGCAGTCCAAATCTATCTCCAACAGCCTTCAAAATTTTAAAAATCATTCAATGAAACTCTAGGAATTACTTTAAAATTAAGGTATCTCAGTCTATTCCATAACGGAATAAATGTAAGTATTATATATTCCACAGGAGCAGTGGTTTGGGGTTTTTCTGGGAGAAAGGTTGCTGATCTTACTGGACTGAAAATAGCAGGAGTATAAGCTTACAAAAACAAGGTATTAGTATCACAAAGTTCTGGTATCAGGTAGTAAACAGTATTCATAGGGCCACTCAGCTGTTTTCCCTTCATTGGGGTTGATTCCAAGAGAAATGAAAGACAGTTGAGAGACTACGGATTTTTCCCTCACCATGAATCAAATATTCAGCCAGGAGTGAAATAACGAGCAGGTAAGTACAGAGTCAACATAACAAACTGCTTTTACTTCACTTTGTCTTTCACCACTGAAAGTGTGAGCAACATTTTCATATCGCATTCCTCCTGTGTGTCTACTGTTCTTTGCATTCATCAGCGCCTTGGCTACAAAAGAAAACTTGTTGCTTAAGATTTGGTCCAAAGAGAACTGAAGAACAGGACTTGATCACCTTGGGATCCAGACAGATGAGCTTTCAGTAGCATCAGGCAAATACTCTTTCAATTTGGCACAACTACCCTTTTGGCAAAAAAATTGAGAATCTACAGATAACACCAAGTTTTTGTCCAGAAGGTTGCCAAGAGTCAAAAAAAGGAAAGAAATTTGCTACTATGTAATGATCAAAAATGTAGTTTGCTCCAAAATCAGATGTTCAGTATTACTAGATGGTCCAAGATAGACCTTGCCTCTGTATAGGTATGGAGTTGTGTTGGCTGACAGTATTTCATTTTACAAACAGTTGATTGCCAAATGGCAGAATATTTTAGTGACTAGAAAAAGCTCTAGGGCTTCACTGGTACAAGCAGCTCAATAATTATAGTACTTATAACACAACACAGAGGTAAAATTCCAAGCTACTTTGATGAAGATATCAAACACTATCATGCTTTGCCAGAACATAAGGAAAAGAATATAATCACTTTCAGTAACTATTGAGAAGACAGAGCTGACAAAATACACAAAATACGACTAGTTTGTGACTGCGGTGGGCTACTTTACTGTTACATACTGACAACAGAGAACAGAAAGAGCAGGTAATACAGTGAATCACTAAACTCACCTAATGAGGGAATTATAGCTGTAATTTACTTCTCACAGGTGCATATCCATTCAAAAGAATGTACTTAAGAACAACATCCGGCTCAAAAAACAAGCTGCTTGCCAGGGGGTAAATCAGAAAACTATATGACAATGGCCTGCAATTCAGATCCTTTGTGCAAGGTGAAATGGTCCACTGAGCCATGGATAAGCCACAGAAACAACTTAACCATTGTTCAACATAAAAGAATTAAAAAAAAAAAACAACCCAATTTAAAAATAAAAAGCAGGAAAGAAAGCCAAAGCACAATACCAACACAGTTATTATGAGCATTCCAGCCTGATTTGAAGGGCAGATGCAAGTGAAGTGAAGGTCAAGTGTCCATCAGAGCTTGAAAATTTAACAAAAAATGGGAATCAATGGCCTATGAACCTAAAGTAACTGACAACTTTCAGTTCAAATTATATTTAAGTGCTGGGCTTGGAAATCTTGGAAATAACTGGACATGAAACCATGACTATTGAGGAAAAGCCTGCAGAGTTTCTGATAGTTTGATCAATGGACTTGTAATTAAAACAAGCCTAAGAAACTGCTAGCTGCAATTGCTGACACTGATTTTTGTAGTTTGAACCTCCTGCATATACATTCATAAGGAATAAGCTGAAATTAACTGTTGAGAAACGACAGTGTGTAAGAGAAGTCAGAAGGATCAGTCTTGGGAAGAGAGTACAAAGCAATTAATCACAGAATCACTAGCAGCAAATGACACAAGAGGAAGGGGATAAATTCGTATCTACCCTGTGTGTTCCACATTGGCAGTACAAGACAGGTCAACAATGAGCTGTTATAAAAGCTGAGATTGCCACAAAGGACATTTCCCTCTACACAACTACTAAGCCTCTTCCTATACTACTGATGATTCCACTAACAGAACCATGCTTATGGTACCTCAAAGAATGCCTTAGGGAAAAAAAGCAACAGGAATTTAGTTATAGGATGATACTGCAGAAACCCTGTTGTAAATAGCTTTTCAGAATACATAATAATTACTCTGGGTATTTATTAACTTTCTCATGGTAAATGGTCAGGAAACAACTTCAGATGCAAATATTAAGGCTTTTCCTCTTAAAAATGGGTTGCATATGATTTTGTACAGTCACTTTATTCCATGCTGTACAACTCTTAGGTTTAAAAACTATTTTGTACACAAACATTAGAAAATTTTGGAGGAAAAAAGACTTCCTAATTTAAAAAGACTGCTAACTATAATTACCATATCTCTGTGTTATAAATGATACAAAGTTGCTATTGTTACTAAAAAAAATAACACCTTGGCACTTACATCTTTTTCTTTTTGGAGGCTGTCTACTTTTTCTTTCAGTCGTTTGCATTCATAATCTAATTTATCAGCTTTCTTGGATTCTTCAGATAACCTGTTTTGTAGTTCAACTGCCTGTGAGAACAAGAATCAATAATGTGTCTGCAAATGTTAAAACAAAATACACAAGACAAAGTAGCCAATTACAATGCACCACAACTCAAGTTGTAAAACAATTGAAATTGTTACTTATAGGACATACGAAAAACTTCTTTCATCAGTTGTTCTGTGTTTCAGCAGAATAAATAAAAAGCATTCAAATATTAGGTCTTAGTGCAAGCAAAAGAAGAAAAAATGTGAAGTATTTTCACTACATCTAAAACAAGAATTTAAACTCAAGGTTTACAGAAAAAAACCCCATGTAGTTCTAAAAATCAAGATTAGAAACAGCAGAAATTTTTTTCTGCATTCTGAAAAGCCTAGTAAAAAGAACAGACTCTGAAGAAAGCCAATTATCTACATTTTTCGTTAACTTTACTTTATAAGCCTCACTCAGAATTCAGCTACTAGTTTAAGCAGCCAGGTAACATTCCTAACATTCCCTAACCTGAAATGGTTAGTCCTAAAAATTTTTAATACACTAACATAAAGATTCAGCCACAGGCCCCAAACAGGTTTTTTTATTTCAGTGAGAAACACTGCCACATGTATGCTTTCAACTACAAATCACTAAACAACTCTTAAAATTAAGTGAGCAGAAATGTGAAAGGCAAGCACAACAGAAGGTATATCAGTGAAGTCTTGCCTTTTCAAAACTTTCAGCCTTTACTAGCAAAGATTTATTCCCAGAACACTACTAAAGCTCACAATGGAGAGAGCATGAGCGCAAAAAAGCTAAATAAAGACTGACCTGCAAATACAAAAGCTGAATGAAGACTCAGCTAAAGATCTACAGCTTCTTCTGAATCAGTTTATAAGAAGGCTTTCTCATGGCTTTTAGATATAAAGGGAAGTGATTAAAGCAGTAGCCATATCTACATCAAGATTGCCTAGTGGTTCTAATGGCCTTTTATTTTCAATGTGTACAACTATAGCAAAATAACTACAAGGCCTAAAATATGCATGGTCCTAAGACTTAGAGAAGGACTTTGCTGCTGCTTTTTCTAAATTAAAGGATGCAAAATCAGCACAGGCCTGCATTTTCTGAGATTAAAGAAATGAACATGTTAGATATGAAAATATTTCATTTTTCAAATGTGACATTTATCACTGAGACCATCAGAATAACTGCAGCTATAACAAAACAACGGCAGACCTTCACCAGTGACAGTGCCACCACTTGCAAACTATTAGTATTTTCACCTCAAATGGAAAGAAATGTATTTATGTTTGTAACCAATCATGCTAAGGTAGGTAATGGTATGCAGAAAAACACTGCAGGAAATAAAGACTTGTGAGTGTATAGAAAAACATACAGTTTCATGGTAATGCAGAAGATTAAAAGAAAATTAACTGCCATCACATTCACTAAGCATTATCTGTGTATGGAATGAGTAAAGCAGGAATCTTGCAACAAAGGAAAGCAAGACATACTGTTAACTATGTATCAAAAAGCACATGCACAAAGGGGCTGAATTAAAATTACAAAAAAAAAAAATCCCGCGGTCTTTACATTTCAATTCTTTATTCCAAAATAAAGTTTTTTTAGAAAAGGCTTGTGCTTGCTCTCAGAAGAGCGAAAACAAAACACTACCACTCAACCTCACCTCACAGAGACTGCTCTATGCAGTGAAGATGCAATTTCCTTGCAGACTACTAGAGGAATTTGGATGACCCACTTTCATCTGCATAGCACAATGATTCTAAGCCAAAGAAATAGCTCTCTAATGGTGTCCTCATGAGTCAGGTTGGATCCTTCAAGCACCAGACAAGACATATTCCATTACAGGAACACACTAGTACTCAGCAGTGACATAACATCACAAGCCTTATATCCAACTTACTTCTGATAGCACAATTTAGGATTCCCAGAAAAATAATTTTGTGGCTTATGAATCACAGGCAGGTTTCAAAAGGAGCCCAGTCTTACAAACACTGAAGACAAACACAGAGTGTTTATTTTGAGACACCATAGTTAGGTGAAGAAAAACACATCTGCCACAGGACAACAGAGGCTTATTCCAGTCTCAGCCAGTAAGCAGTTTTGCAGCAAACAACAGCTCCTCATACAGGAAGCCCTACATATAAAACACACCGAAGAAAAGGAGTACTTTAGCAGCACAACTGATGGGACTGGCCCTTCCAAAATCCTTTTGGTTGGTGAAATAAGAAGAATCAAATGCAGATATTGAGATTACACAACAGTATCACATGCTCAGCTGTTTAACGGAGTGAAATATCGGGTTGCCAGTAAACTTGATACTACTCATTGGTAGAAATGGAAGGCCATTCCTTTCTACATTGCATTTCTCTTTGCCCCTTGGGCCATTTTTCTTCTCCAACCTTTTTTTCTGGTAAAATCATTTGGGCTGTATTTAAAATTAGCCCACATAGGCTGAAACCACTTGTTTTAAACACCGAGATCACGAACTGCAGGGAAAGAGTCTATCAAGTCTTAGGGAGACACATAATTCCTGGGCTTTCAGTATTGTTTAGTGTTTATTTCTATACTTTATTCTATGATAAACTGACATACAGGGACCCCTCTGCTGTGATTGTTCAATCAGGCAGAAATACAGAGCAGGCACTACTGCTTTACTAAACCATACTCTGTCCAGCCCTGTAACAAGAACAACAGAACAACATCGTGTCCCTGAAGTAAAGAGGCAGAAAGAAGATTAAGCACATGATACACCTTTACACAAACAGCATCACATGGCACTTGAACAAGCAAGAGGATAAACAGGTGCCTTTCACTCCACAGAGTGTGCTGCTGACACATTTTGTATTCCACTAGGTGCATATAAACAACAAGGATGACATATGTGCTTCTCTTTGCTTAGTGGAAAAATTCATATGTATCAGAGCAACTAGAACCTTAAAAAAAAAGTTATTTCACCACAGGAACAACTTACCTCAACTGTGGTGTGTTCCTCACTGCTGGAAAATTGTAAGTGAAAAGGAATACTTTTTCTGAAAGGACAGCCTCTAATTCAAGCCCAACTACTGAATATGAATTTGGAATCATTTTAGAAAAAAGAAGCTTTACATCTGTTAAGTTTTTAAATGCAAGAAATACTGCTTTTTTGAAAAAGTAACAAACTTGTAGTAATGACAAGCTGCAGGAAAGAAGGACAAAAGGTAGCAAGTACCTATAAAACATGGAAGTCTTTTAAACAGGAGTTATTTTTTACATAGCTTTTTCTTACTTTGAAGCATTAGCCATGTTATGAAGACAAAGTGCTGAACAATACAGAGTACTATAGCACTGATGTCCTCACCTGTCTCTTGTATGTTTCCAGCTGACTGCGTGCTGCGTTGGCCTTCCTTAGTTCTTCCTCCAGGCTCACAGTATTTTGCATGTACATTGTATTCTTCTCTTCTAAAAGCTTCACTTGCCGCCGCAAATCACCCAGGTCCTCCAATTTCTTTTTGTATGACTCTACTTGGCTTTCTAACTTGGCTACTTTATCAGAAGAATGCCTGAAGGGACAGATTTGTATCAAATTTGAACTCCAAAAACTAACAAAACTAACAGAATTTAAAATGCTTCTTCACAGTTTTTTCTTAATGCAGAAGACATTCATGGGAAGAAAAATAAAGCAATCATATCCTCCTATTACTGATGTTTTCACTTTTAATTGTCTGTTTTCTCCCCTGAACTATTTGTCAACTCTAAAAGTTGCTGCTGAAGTTTCTCTTAGACCCTCTATCCCTCTTCCTAACACAACTTTCTTATCTGCTTTCAATCTTAAAATAATAGCTAAAACAACCTCACTCCCACTCATTACCTTTCAATTCTAGATCATGTTCTGTCCTAAATTTTTCAAGGGTAAAGAAGAAAAGTTTCTGCCATTCAGTTTGTTTTAATGATAACCAGGACTAAAATAATAAAGATCTCTCTGCTAGATAAATTGTACTTGGTGACACAGAAGAACAGTAAGAGTTTTGAAACTTAACTCCTTCTAAAAAAAAAAAAAAAGGACAAAAGAAAAAGAAACACCAGACTTCAGCTTTTCAGAGTATTACCAATCTACCTGCTGCACTTCCAAGCTTACAAAATGGACCTCACTTCCCCCAAAGACCTCTGCTACTATTACTGTTCCCAGATTCATTTTAGAATCAACCAGTTTACAGACTCAATTTCCTGTGAAACCCAGGGAACCTCCCACTGAATTAATGCGTCGGTTTATGGGACATTGAGGCAAGCCTGCTCTGTTTAATCCTCAGTGAGGTGCAGGGCCTCTCTCCTGGGACAAGGAATGGCTCTTTGAACCCATGCCACCCAGACAGTTTATGCAGTCTGATGGGTTCATTTCTTATATTAATGACAGAAGGGATAAAGACAGACAGCTTTGGTAGAAGGCTGCCAGTGAATCAGGAATAGCAGTATTAAATAAGTCTTGCCGGAGAGAATGAGTAATCTCTCCGCTCTGAATAATCCATGGAAATAGATGCCAATACTGAAGGAATGTGCTCCATAGTAAAGTGGCTGTCCCACTCTACAAACCCCTAATATCATCAAATCATGACAACTTTCATTGCTAAAATGCATTGGGAATGAGAGCTGCAACAGATGTAGTTCACACTAATATTACATGGTAAACCAAAAGCATCATTCAAAGTCCAAACAATGCATACCCAGGACAGGAAACAGCCTAGTTTTCTGATGAGAACAGATGCCTGAGGCATGATGAAGGTGAATACTGCATACTCAAAGAGACCACTGGGTGCCCTGTTATAACCATTAATTGGCATAGAATTATTAAGTTTAATAATAGTTATTGATTGACAATAGTTGTTGATGAATTATAGTTATTGATTGACAAAATAAGCAACTATTTTACTCAAGCCGAATTGTGTGTCAGTCTGTGTACTTAAACTGGAGGATCCAAAGAATCTTGGCATTGAAAATGTTTAATATAAATTACTTAAAAGATAATGTAGATTAAGTACACAAATTATTAAGTACAGATTAAAAAGTAGTAGTTAAAAGAGTTAACAGAACAAAATTTACCTGAGTACATCTATCTCATCCTTCAAAGACTGAGCCTCCTCTGCCAGTGTAGTAAGCTCTTCAGTTTGTTGTCTCAATTCCGCAATTTCCTTTTCTAGTTCCTCACAGCGTATTCGATAGTCATCTTTTGCAGCTTCTAATCTGTAAGAATGGAAAGAAACCCAGGAAATATTTTCTCATCCTGAGCCAGTTACCTTTCCTCATCAGCCCATCTAAGAACATATGAAATGGCCTCCTGCTGCAGTGAAGTTAAACAACAACACAATGTGTTTATTCAAAATGTAAAAGCAGACGGACTTTATCAATGCTCCCAATTTAATATCAGTCTTTCTACTTGAAAATTCACAAGGTAACCTATGTTCCCATAAAAACAAAACCTGAGGTTTCCTTCTATAATTGTAGTTTACCACAAGGGAAGCTTAAGGAGAAATTTTAATATTTTTTCATCTTCGGACACCCAGAGTTCGAACATAACATCTTTATTCTATTCTGTTCAGCTGTCCAACTCATCTACCTCCAAAAATGCTGACCTGATTGTAAGATGTTATAAATGCCATAGACCTCTCACTGAAGCGGCTTTATTTATTTTCTCATAAAGAACCTGTTCATGGCCAGTAAATCTGGAGAACCAGGCTATCTAGTTAGCAAGTAAAAGTTGCTGAGCTGCTTACATACACTATGCATAGCCAAAGCTCTATTAACCTGGCAGTGAACAAATGGAGTAAGCAATAAACTTTTTCAACGTATTTTGAATGAACAGAAGAAGACGCAACCTGAAACAGAAAGTCCCACTGTGATTTTGCTCTGAAATTAAAACAAAAACAATCCAGGATAGGAGATAAGGGCATGAGGGAAAAACAAAGTCAAGGAGTCCAAAAACCATCTACAAGAATGGAGACAAGAGAAAATCTTTGAGTGATCCAAAGCAGAAACAATGAAGATTTGGATCATGACAGACCATGACAGTCAAAGCACAAAGAGGCAAGACTAGGAGGAAAAGTGGTGTACTGCACAAGGCACCACTTAAACTGTGCAAATTTCCTGCTTGATCAGGTAGAGCTGGAAGCAACACATACAAGTTGCCATTAGAAGCCACATAATATGAAGACAGGGGAAAGAGGTAAAGGAGACCAGAAATGAGTCTCACATATGAAAACAGTTCAGAATGACCTTCAGAACCTGAAACTACAGTAACAGACAGTGCAAATATTGAACACAGGGACAAAATCTGTTTGAACAGTAAGTGATACCAGACTCAAGTAGGAATCACTGCAGACCATGGAGATGAATCAGAAGAGATAAAAGGGGACAACACCATTACTTTATTCCTTTACATGGTAGACATATAAAAAGAAAAATCCAGGCACCAGTTGCTGTGAAAGAGAAACACAGAATGTTTTTCAAGGAACTGATAGGAGATGATATGTCAGAACAAGCAGGAAAGAAGGCTTAGCAAGAGGAATTGGAAAACAGAAAAAAGAAGGAAAGTAATATGGCATATATTGTAAGAATTGGAAAAAGGCAATGAGAAGAAGATAACAAAAGAAAAGCTGGCAGTGTAAAGAAATAAATACTATAATTTCACTCACAAAGGAGAAGGAAAGTACGGGAAAGAGAATGAAAAGGTGATGGTTAAGTGAACCAGCTTTCTTCAGCAGAACAGGCTGACACAGTCTGAAAGCAACAGTCAAGAGGATCAGTAAGGATGTTTAAAGAGGAACTGCATTTTAACATACTGGGGAAATGCAAATAAAGTGCAGAACTCATAGATGGATAATCTCTATCTTTCATTATCTCTGAAATTTGTTTTCAGATTCAGGTAAGGACATATTTTCCTATGTTGATAATGCCATCAGCAGTACAGCCTATAGCAAACTTTCTTCTAGGAATTACTAGACCTTAAAAATACAACCAGAATAATTTGCAAAAAGGAAAGCATGCTACTCTTCATTCTCACTGACTTTGCAAAACATGGGTGAAATGACTGCATACAAAACAATTAAAAGTAACTCACAGTAGAGTGACATATAAAGCACTTCATCACTAAGAAATTGTGCTTTTTTAAATGCTGGACCTTGTAAAGAGTGAAATTATAATGTATACATCACTTTAAAAACTGTACTACTGTGGCTATACACCATCCATCATACTAATTCACATTTGCAGCAGAACCAGAAATATTTAAGTCACCTCTATTGCCAGCTACAAACAAACACCTTAACCTAGTGTAGCTTTTCTACCTAAATGTTTCCTCTTGGAGCTGTTCTAGTTGTGTCTGCAGCTGCAGGTGTCTACGACCTGCAGGACTGTTGGGATCTTCAATGGAATCAGACTGATTTAAACGTTCCATCAAAATCTGGTTCTCAGCAAGCAGGCTGCTCTTCTCCTCTTGGAGGGCTGCAACCTGTTGTAATAAAAGTATGAAGAGGAAAAATTAACCTACCCAGGTACAGAGAGCAGTATTTTTTCATGTTCATAATGAAATATCAACAGACGCCACAAATAGAAACATGCAGGCTTCACTAATCACAATTCACAAGAATACGTTGTATAATTTAATAGGTATTCAATTGCTATGTGATGAAACCAACATATTGCAACATTAGGGGCAAAGTTACAACTCAGGAAACATAACTATTATTTTATGCATTTCACATAAGCATTTAAAGAAAAAGTCTATTCTGACAGCAGGTACTTATTATAATAAAATCTGCATCCTTTCCCTAACAACAAATAAAACTAGCTCCTGACAGTAAAGGCCATCTGCAAGCAGGCCTGAAACAGAAACACAGTCCCAAAGAGGGAAAGAACCCAAAGTGCTCCAAGACCTGAAACATGGGTTCATATATTAACCACAACAAACAAAGATCAGCTTTACTAACTCCAACAGTTACTGAACTACAAGAAATCTGAATTAATATTTCGAAGAAGGATTGCAACAGCAACACCTTTCAGTGCTCCTCTTTCACACTCCTCATGTCTTCCTGATGAGTATTGATTTAATTACAGTAAGACTTAGTCTAAACCCATACACATTTAATGGTCCACAGCAACGTCTGACTGGGATGTAACTACAGCATCAGAACTTGTATTAGTTCTCTATGGCAAAAGTTTTACCACACAGGTCAAACACATCCTAACTGAATGAGAAGAAGTTTTGCTAGTATGAGTCATAATACTGACAACACAGCAACAAGATAAGAAAACAATGATATTCATTCTGCTAGCACAAGTGAAAACAAAACAATTACTGTGACATTTTCATCCCCCTTCTATAAACTGTGTTTCAATATGCTAGTACTTATTTTCTGCCACCACAAAGTTCACAAAACTTTTCTCCACTTCAAAATTGATACAGATTCTATAGCAAACTTACCTGCATATCTAACTCATGACATCTCTGGGCAATTTCTTCTTTTGTTGCAAGCGCTTCATTTAATTCTTCTGTAGTTTTCTTCAGCTACCATAAAGAAGAAATGTTTAAATTTTCATCACTCTCTGTGATCCATGTAAAAATATTCTGGACTACAGCCTGTAAAATTATTTTTACATTGGGGTAATACATAACATTTTTAAAAACTGAGCAATTCCTTTCATATAAAGGAAAAAAAAAAGAGAGCAGACGTAAATACTGTTCAGTTTTTGTATCAGTAAAAAGAAAATAAACCTAAAAGTAACATTTCCTTTTGTATTAGAATTAACACATCTACTCTATAAATTGAGTCAAAAACTCCAGGAGAAATTGGGTCTGAAGAACTCACCAAATCTCTACACAAAAAAACCCCCTGTCAATACCACTTTTCTTTACAGATGCAAAGAGTGTGTAATTTCAATTTTCAATCTACATTTGAAATACAAAAGGGACTGGAAGGTGGAATACAGGGAATGAACAATTAGGGTAAAATCCTTCTAGCCTCTGGAAGCTACTTCTAGTACACAACAGGAATAAAACTAGATTGTGACATGAGAAGCCTACTCTTTAAAAAAGGGCACTGAACCTTATAAGCAGTGGGAAATATTCTGAGACTTCCCTTCAAAGGCTGAATGTTTAAAGATACATGTCTCACTGGCCTGCAAATGAATGCAGTTAAGATAACATAAAAAACATAGTTACAAGAAAACTAGTCTGATAAAACCGGTGCATGCATGTTATATATTTAGGTACAGATATATATGTACTACAGATATATACGTACTATTATATAAGATGAAGTTTAAATGAGCTTTCTCAAACAGCATCATACCTTCCATTTGCAAGTTAATTTCTTATGAGCCTGTTTACATACAAAGAATTAATTTAATCTGCAAGAATTTACATTTTTCTGCAGAGAAAGCATAATGGATGAACACAGTGAGCACCACTGTACTATTCTTCTTCTCAATTAGAAAAAATCTGAGGAAGGAGGACAGTGTTAGCATGAGGACAAGCTAGTAAAAAAATTTTGGTTTGTAAATTTTTTAAATATATCAGACCAGGAATGACTGTATTTGAAAACTTCCATTTTGCAGCAGTTCCAGGATTCCCCTAGAAGCAGTTGTTTTGGTGTTTTGTTGGTTTTTTTTTTAACTGACTTTGGAAATAGGAAACAGATAAAAACATTTATTCAAATAGTACATCTTTTTTATCTTTCTTTCTTTCTCCATGCCTAAAGAGTTCTACCAATCTGCAGTTTTGTACTATTATATCATACAGCTAGACTGGTTTCTCAAATCAACTTTCCTATATCCTTTAAATACACAATAGAATCAAACTCAATTTACAAAGCTAAAGGACTTGAAATACTGAGATTTAATTCTTTGCTTCTTATTTTACTTTTCCACAACACCCTTTCATGATTAAAGAAAAAAAAAAAAAAGATGCAGTAATTATGACCACTGACATGCTATGATCAAAAGAAAGGAAACATCTAAAACTAGATACCTGCCGATCAAGGTCAATGTAAGCATCATTTCCAACAGAGACTGGAGACTCTTTACTCATCAACTGCAATTAGATTACACTGGATTAGAAAAAGCAAAGATTTACTTTTATATTAAAACCTATGTTTCAATGAAATACCAAGCTGATTTTTACTTTGGAAGCTTTAATGCAAATTAATTTGAAAGTTTTTAACTTCACTTTTATATATGACATATTCAGAAACAAGAACAAGGAAAAAAAACTTATATAAAGAATATAAGAAACCTTAAAAACCTATAAAAGAAACCTTACATTATCTCTTTTTCTTCTCACAATGCACATTCTTTGTCTATGATAAGCCTACAGAACGTCCCACTAAAGATTTTACTGCAGTGGCATTGGAATGATAGTAGACATCAACACACCACACAAGACCTAGCTTTAATTTTTCCCTGCTAGTGAGTGGCTTTTACATATGTCCATTACCTGGACATTAACATCAATTAATTTATTTATTTCACTCAACTCCAGGACATATTTATCTCAACTACTACTGCAAAACAAAGCTGACAAAAATTCTGTCCTGGAGCTGCCTTAATTTTCAACATTAAAAAGTAATTCAGGAGAGTGCATTCCTGAAATGAGTATTACAATTCCTTGTGTACTACTTCAGTGCAGGAATAGCTGATAGTGGTTTTGGCCTAGATTATTAAAAAAACCAAAGCAACAAAACAAAACAAAAAACTACCCCAGCCAAACCTTCAATACAAACATAAATCAAAAGTTAGTCCTACAAAACTGACTGATGTACTGATCAAAATGAAGAAAAAAGCCATTTTCTTATAGTAACCTAACAATCAGCTGCACCAGTTGGTAAAAGTGAAATCAAGCCTAGCAAAACTTGTAGCTCAGCAGCCTCTTCCCACACAGTTCAAGTAAACATAATAAAGTAATGTTCTTACTAAAAGCTGAAAGAAAAAAACAGGAAGAGTCTTGGAAATGAGAAATACACTGTAGCAAATTCAAAAGTTTCATTACAGAATGGCACTGAAGGTTTCTGTCCAAACGCATAATGTTCTAAGAGCTCTCTAATGACTCGATTAATGAAAGTTACAATTAAAAAGGCCCTATCCTAACCAAAATCAGGACAAGTTTTCCTCCCTGGAATCTCCTGTCTAGCCTGGTAACTCTCTCCAGAGACAGTACTTCCTTTATTCCTTCTAGAAATCAGTGCTTTTGCACTATTTTCCTTAGCAAAATCTTTTGGGATACACAGGGCCTTCACTTCTCAATCCTGTCTATTATCACCATGTACAAGTGAAAAATCTGTTTGACATTTACATCATTCAAATCATACACTCACATTTCTCCCACTACCCCCATCTCCTTAACTGGGATTTAGCTGCATTATTTAGATTAATTTATCTCTCCTCAGCAGTCCTCCTCACACCTTGACAACATTTGCCAAATTTCTTCAATTTTCTTCTACATATTTACAATGACTAACTACTCCATGAAGAAGCATTACATCAAGCCTGCACTCTGCAACAATAATTAGAAAGTCCCTAGCCTCAGAGCTGTCCCCTGAAAAATGAAGTCTTGCCTTTTTCATTACCATATATAATGGCATTACAAACTTATCTTCAATTTAGAGCCTATTTTCTAAGTTGATTATCATTTAAACAAAGCCTCCCAATCCCTCCCCACATTTTGAATACTGGATTTTACCACCTTTTCCAGATGACTAACAGGGATATCCCATATTAGCCAAATACTGAACTCCTCTCAGTATTTTACATTCCATTCACAAACACACTTTGGACATATGTACTCACACACATGCAAATAAGTTCTGCCTGCAAAGTCAGCACTTTCCAACAGGCAGGTCTCATGCTGCATGCAGCTTGCATGGTGTGCAACATGTCTCCAACAGCCACCACCCCTTTCTGGCCCTAACACAACTTCCTCTTTGAAAAACCAGCTCAACAGGCCTGTACAAGACTTAGAGCAGACGGAATACAAGCGACCACACAACCCACTAGAGGCCACTGTGGTGTCACTGCTTTCTGGGACTTGCCATAAAGCAGGCCATGGCTAATAATATAATCCCTATTTTCTTCAGCAAGTTTTGCCATCTTTCCCAAAACATCCTGTCCTTGAGAATTCTTAGCAGAAATCTCCAGAAAAGAAGACATTATCTGGAGTAGGATTAGGTACTGGAGATATATATTCTGGGTGTACCATGAATGCACGTTACAGGTGTGAATTTCACTCCACAAGGTACATTAAGAATGTGATGAGGAAAAGTGAATGAGGTACCAAGGGCAAAAGCCACAGATACATGTGCAGATGTATCTCACATGACTCAGTGCAATAGAAAGCACCTTGCAATTGGATGCTCTGTGGTATGTATAGTGGAAAAGCTAAAGACGAAATTTAAGGGATCATTTTGTGTCCAGTACCACAATCAGACAAAGAACAAGATCATTAGGTAACTCAAAAGGAACACAGGAATCCAACTTCTTATCATCAGTTAACAATGAAACAACTGTAAGAAGTGGGATGTAAAGGCAGAACTATCATGGCAAAGGAGTGCTTCCATCTTTTCCCTACACATCTCCCTACATACTGTAAATATGTAAATTGTTTATGCAAGAAAATGTCTTGACCATGCTCTGCTTCAGGATTCCTGTACACAACTTCTCCTCACTGAGAGGTAAAAACTTTACCATAAATAGAACAGCTAACAGAGCATACAACTCCACTCACCCACCCAAATTCCTCTCTCAGATTTTTTGAAAATTTCAAGAAAACTTTTACTGAATGCAATGTTTTAAGATTTCATACAGATAGGCCAGCTTTCACACAGATAGGTATATCAACTTGAAACACACACTACACCTTCCACCTAAAAAATGCAAGAGGCTCGCCTAATTTTCCCTATTCTTGACTTTGTTTCTGGTCAATCAGCATTTTCTGGTATTACTGAAATTCAGAGTTGCAAAATGCTCATTCAATCAGTTACCTGCTCAATAGAACATCAGCTTTTTCTGCATTATTTATTACTAATCTTACAATACTTTTAATAATATTGAAAGCAAATTTCCATACTGTTTTCTTCTATCTATTTCCTTTATTTAAAAGCTCAGTCAGAAAAAATTCATGAAAAGCTGATGTAATTTCAAAGCTTCACATGCAACCTGCAAGCATGACACTAGAGTACGTGGTCTTGAGAGGTATGGATCAATGGTAATATTTTTGAGTTTAGAGGGGCAAACTCTATTTCACTTGTATTACAAATCAGTCAAGAGAATAAAAATCATGAGGAAGTGTCCTTCTCATTTTCCCTTCACATCTGCAAGTTTTCTTCAGGACCAGACTACAAAAATAAAGGTCTACATCCACAATTTTGCAGCACTGCAACTGACTTTCATTTCCAAATATATAATTCAGTGTAAATATAGTATAGTCACCTATTTTCACACATAACTTTAATGGAGGATGATGTGCAGAGATTATAAAAAGGGAAACATTAAAAATGCGCTTGCAAATTCAAGCGATTGCATTAGATCTCTGCAGGAGAAGAAAATCCTGCTTAAGAGCTTCCCAGAGTGAAATAAACTAGCAACTAGCATTTGCAGTCTTGCTCTTTTTCTGGTTTATTTTGCATAGCAGTCAGTATGGATTTTAAATGGTGCAAATTACCTGCAACATGACAATTCTTACAGTTCTTTATAAGCAGCAGCTGTCACTCCCTGTTAATCCTTTACATCTATATTTTTTCATGCTCATAATACTTGCAGGTCTTCTAATCCTATATTATGAAAACCTTCACTTTTTAACTTTTAGCTTTCGCTGTAAAATATGAACAAACTGTGTTGTCATGGATACATGAAGATTAGGGAAGGGGTAGAGCTATCACAAAACCTGCATGCATGAATAACATGAATTATGAAAGCTTTTTCTCCCCCCACACATGATTTTGCAAACACAGTTGCTCTATTTAGTTGATGATTTTGAAATCCAAAACACTTGCTTTATCTGAAATGCTTTTTCTACAGTTAATAATACTGTATAAGCTCACTTAAGTGCCCACAAAGCAATGTCAAAACCTAGCTTCTGTACTCACGTTCTTTTTCTTTCTTAGAACATCTTTATGTTAGTTTTTAAGAGTCATGGCTATGTTTGACACTGTATATCCTTTAAAGCAGCTGGAATTTCTTCTTCCTCCAGTTGATACCCAGTCTACCTCCAGTCTATCTGTTGATAGACCCAATAAAATACTTTTATATCATTTCCTAACTATTCAAAAAATAATTTTATTTCAGACAAGATAAATCTTTAAACAGCTAGGAAAAAATAGAGGAGGAAAAAACAGCACAAAACCAAAAAGTGGAAGTAACACCATTGGTGTTATCCCAAACAGTATGCACCTTTTCCTACACCCCCCCCTTGGCAAGTTTTGACACTACTCTTCACACTATTCTGACTCTCAACTTGACCTGCTAAGTGATCAAATTTAGAGATGTTCTAAACAGCAAGGCAAACAATTTGTTTACTTATTACTACCTTCATCAATAATGAACTTGGCTAATCCAGGAAGAGAGTAGGAAAAAATGACAGAAGGGGAAGGGAGAAAGGGAAATACATAATGGGCAAAATAATTTCTCTAAAAAATTCTTTGGGCCTTTAAAAATCTGAAAATAACAAAATAAAAAAAACCCTGTTATATTACGCATAGGAATGTATTCAGTCTAGTATTTTGTGCACAACTTGCATTTTGATACCTACATCTACAGAATAGCATCACAGATTCTAAGGGGTGACAACACACCAGACCAAACTGACTACACTGAAAAACTAACAGAAAACTTGTTCTACTGTGCCTTGTGAAATACTTTCATGACAAAATGATTTATGATAACCCAAGAAGCATAAAAAAAATTTGTACGTGCTCAGCTGAAACAGAAAAATAATTACATAATACATCACTAAAGCGTAGAAAGATCTGACATACTAAATTTTGAAGACTACCCACAATGTCAAATGCTTTAAAATGTTTGGATTAGATGATATACCAACTTTTCAAATATTCATATATAGCTAATTTCTTACATACTGCTTTTTCTAAGTCACTTGAATTCTAGGAGCTGCTATTAGTCTAAGAAATAGAAAAACCTCCTTATAAAATCCCATGAAGTCTCACCCCTTTAAACTCCTCCCATACCAATCTATGCTGGCTATGATCTAACTCCCAGAGTAACCTTCTCCGTAATTTTGCCAGGCACTGAAGTGAGACAGACCTGTAACTGACAGCATTTTACTTCTTTCTCTTCTTGAAAACTGGAATAATATTTGCTAGCTACCAGTTGACTGGGACCTCTCCAAACTCCAAGCCCATTGAAAAATAACAGAGAGAGGCCTTGCTCTCCAAATACTTCAAAGTCTGAGACACTTTCTCACTTCATCAAGCACTTGAGATTTGGTCCTGAAATGCCTTAGATTTCTAAGCTTGCAAAGTAGCATTAAAATCACTCAGAACTGTGTCAGTATCTGAATACTAAATTTTTTTATTCACTGCATTTTAAAAATCTGTTCCAGAAGAACATACTCTTATGCTGTGATGACCTCCTACATCTACTCATCATGTCAGCAAAAGGGCACACACACTGAACAAATTCAAAGTTTACTCATTAAGTGTTGAGAACTGTGGGCTGCTTCAATAGGCTATTTTATTAAATAACGGAGACTTTTATAAAAATTGAATAGATTTTCAACATAAAGAAGGAAGATAAAAAGTTTTTTCTATTTCAAAATGGTGCAGAAGACAGCGATGCTGCAATTTGGGTTTAATAAAAACACTAGAAAACACCCCCCAGAATACTGTATATTACAGTTACAAAACTTAGAAAAAAGTAAAATACGCCAAAACTACAGCAAACTGGTGCTTGCCAGCGCTGACTAGAAGATGATTTAGATAACAATTCTTTTGATGCTCATTTCCAAAGTCCTCTCAGCTATGTTACAGCCAGCAGTCTGCACACAGAATGTACATACAACTGAATGTATGACTGCATGGATACAGCACTGGTTAAAGTGCTGACTGTGGAGAGATTTCCTTGTAGGCTCACTGATATTTCTTTCTCTATTCAGACATTACAGAGATGAGAAATTGCTCTAAAGCTCAATGTGGAATTGAGTTTCTCTTCTTCTGGTTCAGAAGAAATGGCATACTAGTGGTTTCCTGCCTTCCTTAGCTAGTGGCCTGCAGTAAACATCTACAGACTGTTAGGCATTTCTATTATAAACACTCCGGACCTCTTGTAAGTCACAGGGGGAGTTCAGTGGCTAACACCGTGGTTTTAATTTACCACAGAAGAGCACGTCTACAAAATGGACTGCAGTATACTCACTGACTTGTAAAAACATACCAGCCTACTGTATTATTCATATATGTTCATCTTACATATCATTACCCAAGTCATAACACTACAGCTGACAAAACAATACTGTTACCCAACTCTCTTTCATTTGTCTACTAAATTAAAAAAAAAAAGTTTATGAAATTTTGACAAAATTCTACAGTAATTGGTTATCCACAGAAAATCAATCTAGTACACTTCAGGATTCACAGGGTGGGAAAAGAAAAGGAAAGGGAACCCAGTATCAGAAATATCTAGAAGTTTCAGTCTTCTAGATTTAAAGAAAAGTGGGACATTCAACCAGAGTTCTTTGACATAAAGCAAGATTTTTCTAAGGAAAAATAAGAAGTTTTTCACTGTTAAAAGGCAAAATCTATGCCCTTTATTTTCTTTACTTTCAACTAAGTTTTTCCTAAGTGGGAAAAAGCATACTACTGTAAAATAACACTGAACTTTCACACACTGTGGGCATCGCAGCATACCTCCTGAATGGCTGTCATGACAACATGTTGAACTGATTCTTCCATCATCATTATGGTCTGGATGTACTCTGAAAATAAAAGCATTCTGAAATGTCAATGTTGAAACTCAAGTCATAGAAGGTAAGACCAGAAGCTGCATCCTTCCTACAAAATGACTAGATGCCATGGATGACACTGAAATGTATAAGCACCAGTCAAGTTCCACTTCAACAATTCAACAAGATTTTATTGCAAGCCTGTTCAGATACAAATCCAGGCTTATTTGAACTCTACAACAATGAAAAAAGTACATTATTACCTTTCTTCCTCCCCTGGCATCTCACACTTCTGAAATAACTACTTTTATCCTTTTCTCACTTTGTTCCCAAACTGTTCAGGCTCTTGAAGTACATGATCCATGCATAGGTTGTCCTTTTCCGTAAGTGTAATAGCAACAACCTGCCTTCCTACAGCATCCTCATTTTCAAGTACTTTCATGTTCATTTTTGGTGTCTGTTCTTATTTCTCTAGTATATCACAAATTAAGTCCCCTCCACTTTTTAAGTTCTCAGCTCTGTGTACATGTGAGCTACACAAGAGGTACCTTGTAAGATGATACAGTAGCCAGTAGCCAGAAGAACAAATCCTGACATTTAGACTAAGTCAAGGAATAAACGACTTGCCCAGTATAATACAGTTTCTAGTCAGACATCATCTCATTTACTCTTTTAATGATGTGATTAAGAGAAAGACACTGGGGATAAAGTCACCTTCAACTGGGTAATTTGCTCATGCTGAATCTTACTCAAAGTACAGATTGTTCTGGTATTTCAAATGTGCATTTTTAATGTCCAGACTGAAAGAGTTAAGGGGACACAAGATCAAGAGATACTTGCCACTTGAAAATGAAAAATAGTCACCAAAAGGAAGATAATTTTATATAAAACAGAGATGATAGAAGGTTTAATGAACCAGAGTTATTTATGCACTTGTGGAAGAACACTACTCCTATTTTGATTAATAGGAGACAACCTCCTGGTTAAGAGAACAGAAGTAATTTCAGAAGGAGAAACTAAAGTGATTTAGTCACCTAGGAAAACTGAAAAAGGGGAACTAGCTGTAAAGTTAAGATGCACCAAGCACGGGGAAGACAACAGGCCTAAAATCCTGGCAGCCATCAAACACAAAATTAGCTATATCTAGAGGACACACTTATTTAATGCAACTATCACACAATTACAGTAAAAAAAGCCTTATTTTCCAGCACATGACTATGTTTCCTGTTTAAAGTATTTAGAGTAAATGTTTGCATTTGCCATTATGTTACCTTTATCTGGCTTGAATGAAGAGTAATTTAAGGTAACTTGGTAACAATCTACAGCCTACACCTGAGGCAAGTTTAGAACATGAGAAGTAGCACACTTAAACATCACCATTGTTCATCACATCCTCTCTGGCACCCTCAAGAAAGACGAATGGGGCTCTACTGTATTTGTGCAGGTCTGAATTACAGTCAGGGCCACTTGGGTAGAGGGACAGAAGTCTCCTTCAGGGACTGCTAAAGTGGGATTCAATTGTCTTGCAATTGGCCTGAAGTGACTTTTTGGATGACCCTATTGAGCTCCATCTTCAGCTGTTGCCCAAAAGGGCATGGTTGCCAGCATTACTTGTTCCTATTTGCCAACCCCATAGACACATCTTAGAAACTACAGAAACCCAGTTCACACCAGACATTTCATCAGACCAAGCACAAATAATACTGATGGCTTTTGGCCATGAAGTAAAATGGTGCCTGGAATGCATCTCTGCAACTAAGAGTTATGCTGAATAATGTAATAATCACATTATTCCATTCTTAACTATCCTGATCTACCTCATAAATGGTTAAAAGGTGTACCCAAGAATTTTTTTTTCTTTGTAGACTGATTTTTCAGCTTAGCAAACCAAAACTGAAAATATGTATATTGGAAGTAAATTCAATTCCAGTTTGAGTCTCCAAAAGCAGTGATGCTTACACCAAAAAACAGTCACTATCTGTACAACAAACTAATGTCATCATTATTATTAAAAAAAAAAATCCGTTTCTGACAGAAACCCAATAAATATAATTCTTCTCCTTAATAGTTGCACAATAACCAAGAAAACATGTTTCCAAAATGTATTACCTTGCTTCTGTTCACAATTCACTGCACATCCCAAAATTAGTTGAAGCATTCTCCCAAGCTCCGCAGCATCAGCATGTTCTCCAATCAGGTTAACATCAGGAAGGGTGAAGTCATTTATCTGCTGCCCTAGAATCTGCACAAAGACAAGGCACATACACGGCTGTATCGCTGCCCATATACAAATCAATTTATTTCATACAAAGATGATTCATAATCAACAACAGCAATTCATTCTTACTTTACTATAGTTTTGAATACACCTTCAAAACAAACCAAATTGCTTAACATAACATCTCACTATAAAATCATACTGTTTGATACAAATAATATTTGGGAAAAGATAAACATGACTGTCTCAACTCACAAGCAACTACTAGATAAACACTTAGCAAGATTCTTTCTTAAAGAATTAGATGTTGAAACATTAAATGTTTCACCTATACAACACATATATCTAACAGTGACAGGAGACAAATACAAGATACCAAAAAACTTAGACCACTAGACCTCATATTTCCAGTAAATTTAAGGATATCTAGCAAGTCTTACAGCTAAGAAAGCTGCTCCATGGAAGAGACTCTGAGGTAGTAGTACAATGATATGTAATTAAACAGCCCACATGCAGAAAGAAAGAAAAAACCCTGCAAAACAAAAGCCCGTGTGACTCGCTATTAGTGTTATCTGATTTATCATTAAAGATCATTAAGGATTAATGATTGGCAGTAGAAGGAACTAGACAATTCTGCTAAATTGCTCTTTACTGAACAGAGGGTTCAAAATATGAATATGAAATTTGGAATTAAACACATCACTGACACATTAATTGCAGATGAAAAGAAACTAACTTTTTAAACAGGGTGTAATAAGGAAACAATGACTATATAGAGGGAATCAGTCATGTGTTTGCTGCATGCTCAAGCAATACCCAAGAAAAACAGAAATCAGGTTAAGGCATTTATAAAAAACATAGCATATAGGAGGAATACAAAAAAAACAAGCTATTGTAAAGTTTAGTAGTGTTGGGTTTTGTTGAAGTGCTGTGGTTTTGTTCTGATTATGTACCGTTTGTTTTGTGTTGTGGAACAGTAGGATTTTTAAGCCGTTTTCTCAAAGAATTAACACTACTAAAAACCTCCACATGCTTTAAAGGACACAGATTCACTCTTGCTGGAAAAGACATTCTTTAGGTCAAAAGAATTCTTTAGGTCAATACATCAACAACAATGGAAAATATTACTACCATACACAGACTGCATTAAGAGAAAATACAATGTGTTCTGATTCTGGTATGCATTTATATATTGATCTGTAGTTCCTGAATTTCTTTCAAATGCAATGCTGGTTTTAAGTTAACAACACTACAGTGACTTCACAGTCACTGACAAGAGATCTCCTGTTGAGGAAAGCTGAAGTGAACAGGTAAATTGGCAGGCACTAGGAAGAAGCCAAGGATGTGAAGGTGTGAACAGAGTTTGAAATAGACAAGAGAAAAAAAAATTAAAGAAAAAGAACCAAAAATATCCATCAAAAGCCCTGAAAGAAGTATGAAAATAAAGGATAGACTCTATAATAACTGTCTTGAGATGAAAAAGAGCATTTAACCCATTTTCAAAAGACAAAAGATTTATACATTTACAAAAAAATTAAAAGTTGTAGTTCCAGAGCAGCAGAGGTCTGCAGCAAGATTAACTGAGCCAGAACAAAGCATGAAAGCTACAGTCAGTTACTCAGCCTTCTTGTTCTTCTATACTTTAACTGACAATGACAGCAAATGTAGCAGTTTGACTGATTGTTCTTCTGAATGCAATAAAAATTTCTGAATTTTTAAGGGTGAACAGGATTAGTATTATACACATTTTTCAAATGCTTTTACTACATCTGGTAAAATGCATATACATATCTATATTTTTGTAGTGGAGGAGGGAATAATGTTGAGGAAAACATCAGCAGAATTCATTAGTAGAATCCAGATTACCCCTACTATCAGCTCCAGCACTGCCTCAGCAGGAAAAATATAAACCTAAACCAAAATCCAGTGAGATTTATAAACATGCACTACCTTTAGAGAAATTAATCAGCTTGAATCTGCTCAGAACTTGTCTAATAGTAAAGTTTTGACACCAGACACTTAATCATCATATATACTAACCAATATTAACCAAAAAGCTTGCATCACTTAGTAATATTAATTTTCCATAACAAAAACCTGATCTGTTTCTTTTTAGTGTTCTCAGTCATGACCAGCTTGCTAAATAATCACTTTTCAACATTTATTTAAACATGGATACCTAATCATTTGCTGAAGACAACCTCCTAAGACTTAATTTTTTCTTTCTTGAAGTACTTGAATTTATTTACTTAAATTTATTTTCTTGAAGTACTTCAATTTATTAAAAAATAAACTAATCTCTGTAGTATTTATGAGAAGACAGTATTTTGAAACAAGCAATGTCTAGAACATGCATATTATGGATTTTCTGCTGCCACTTATACAGATCAATTTGTCTCAAACATCACTGAAAGCATATTTCAGCTGAAGATTCACCACTGAAAGAAAAAATATTGTCTCCTCTGGAGTAATTAAGTGCTGAGTTTGCCCAAAATAAGAGAGAATGACAAAGACTGAGTCCAGTACATCAGAATTAAAATATTTAATGAAAATTTTAATGTGGGGAGGGGCTAGAAATGCTCTTCCTTCACTCTCCTCAAGAGAAAAAAAAGGAAAAGAGCAGACTTCAGCTGCAGATGAGGAAGGAAAAAAACATCAGACTCAGGTACATTAAAGTACATCAGACATGAAGTCCATCATCAGAACATAGTCAGTAAAGCTATCTATTCTTCACATGAAAAAATTTGCATAACAGGCTTCACTGGTACACCCGAGTATTCAATAAAGTAGGTGAGAAGGTTTAAAGAAGGCCAAGACTAGGGAACAGGCCATCAATCACCATATATGCCAAAAGGCTTGCAAGAAAACATCAGAACTTAACTTGCAGAATATAATTTATCTTCCACAGGTTAACTAAAATACATAATTCAAAAGGCAAGCAGATGAAGATTAGTTCAAATGGTTCTTACCTCATGGTTGTAATCCAGTATTCCTTTTAAAATTTTCTTCAGGTTGCTTACCTATTTGACAAGAAAGAGGAAATACAATAAATACAGGGAGTATTTTACAGAGAAATGATCATAAAGTGGGCAATCACGGAAGAATCACACAAAAGAAGGATATAATTACATCAATTTATGCACAGTTAAATTTAGAATCATGAAAGTTATGCAAGAGGCCCTTATGACCAGACTTCCAGATGTGATTACAAATCTTTAGGAATTTATTTAAATTTATGAAAAACATAACATTGTCTTGGATAGGCTTTATATCAGATCCTACGGCATAAATGTTTTTATATACTTGTTTATCTTAGGATTATCTTTACATCCAGAAGTTGAAACATTACTTCCCTCCTTTCTTCCCTTCAAGTATCGCAATAATCTACTTTCTGCAGAGATAAATCTCTTCTTTCAAACCAAAACCAGCTACTGCTCAATATCATCCTTTATTCTCAACCCATATAAGTTCAATTGGTTGTTTTTATCATTAATTATTCCTCTTAGCTCTTTTATTTTTGTTCTTGTCAGTCTCTGTCTCTCCTCCCAGTTTTTACAAATGAATGTCTGCCTTACAGTATTTGGCAAAATTTACATTTCTCCAAGATGAATTCACTGCTATACAAAGGTAGCTTCTGTTCACTCGCATAACCAATGGCATCCGTTAAGTACCTCCTGCTTTACAGAATGTGTGTCACATTCCTCCAGTACTGTGTATTGCCCCCTTTCCAGCAAAAATCCATTTGCATCAGGTCTCTGGAAACAGTGTATTTAAAATTATAAAAATGCCCGTGGGTATCACACTGAAATTCAGAGGAAAAAAAAAGCAATCTTTGCTGAAAGTAACTGCTAGAGACTATAAAAAATTAGTGTTCAAGTATTTAGGAAATTTAGATAATAGAAGCAGCACACTGTTTCCTGGGACAGAGAAGAGGCTGAGAGAGCTGGGGTTGTTTAGCTTGGAGAAAAGGAGGCTCAGGGGTGACCTTATCACTCTCTACAACTCCCTGAAAGGAGGCTGTAGCCAGGTGGGGGTCCACCTCTTCTCCCAAGTAACAAGAGATGGGACAAGAGGAAAAGGCTTCAAGTTTTGCCAGGAAGTGGGTTTTTTTTGCCAGGAAGAGTACCAGAACACATCTCTTTATCAGAAATGGTTATCAAGCATTGTAACAGGCTACCCAGGACATGACTGAGTCACTGTCCTTGTGGTGTGCAAAGAGCTGTGTAGATGTGGTACACTGAGACATTACTCATTGGTGGACTTGGCAGTTCATGGTTGGGTTCTATGATCTTAAGGATCTTTACCAACCTCAATGATTGTATGACTGAAGTTTAAACAGAATCTGCAAAGACTAAAACTGATATAAACAGGATTCACGAAGTTCTCTTGCTGACAGCAGCAGCCACAGCAGCAAACTGTGGAACTGCAATGAAGGGAGAGAGCAAAACCTTGCAAGTTTTAAATGTCTTTGAAGCCCACCATAAATTTTATATTCTTGACTGCATTCCAGAAATATCCAGTTAGGAGACTCTGTCCACCAACAGAATTTACCTTTCAAACAACCTGATGGCTGTTAAGAAACATGATACTGAAATTCACGGACAAACACAATACTTCAATATGGTCAACAAACAAAATGAGGTGATGAAAGTAAATTCCAGAGTCAAGAAAGAAACAGGATACACACACTAGAAGATTTTTGCCAAGAAAATCAAAATGATAATAATCTGATTACCTGACTCCTATTAATCTACTCACTTTTGGAAAGAAGTGTCATAAGTTGATTGCTTATTAAGATATAGGAACATTCTGACTGTCTCCAAAATCACTGAATTTTAAGTCATACAAGAAACAAAAGTTCATTTGGACCTGAAAGGTGACACATCAAATACCCTGACAAACTAGAACTGGAGATGCTACATGATAGCATGTATATGAGAACATTTCTTGTCACTCCCAAAATGGCATAACAGACAATTTACACTTTCTACACCAAAGCACATACTTTTCCTGTACTATTACACACAACATGGTTCTGTAAGAGCTGCAACTATTTCCTACGTGTCAGCAACCAAGACTACCACTCAAAGGCAATGCATAATCATAACCAAAATCTGCAACAGATTTAAGAATTTAAAGAAATTAAGAAATTTTACTTTTATATCAAATCATCACAAAGAATACTGCATTGATTGGAATATTATTTTCAAACTTGATTAACTAAAATCTTCTGGTTTATAATTTACCTGAATCTGCTGCAGAAAGAGCCATGGAAACGCAAGGGCCATGTTGCAGAATTTAAGTCCAGTTTACCGATGAGAACATTTGTGAGGAACCTTGAACTTGAACATAATCCCAAAAAGTTGAGAAACCAACTGGAAACCTGTGAGATACCTCTTTCCCCTTCTCCTTGTAAGCATTTTTGAATTAAAATTCCTTAAACACAAAGAGCCACCTTCTGCTATGTAACTTTCATAGTGCGTGGAGTTGAGACACTGAAACAAAGCCAATATTGATCAAAATTCATCATGAAAAAGAGCTTATAGGGCAGCATCCTTGAAACAAGAGAACAGCATATAAACTGAAAAAGAAATCTTTGCCATCCTATTTCACCCCACTGCCAATCAACAGTACTAGGGTACCTTGCTTTTAAGAATTAACTGTACCATCTTTGTATTTGGTACACAATCAGACAATTGTGAGATTAAAGCAGCTTCTTTATAGACTTCTTTTAAGACTAAGACTGACTTAAACTTAACCATGATTTTCAGTATTACTCAGACAGCTCTCAAGTTTTTCCTAACTTGCTTGCGGTTAATAAACTTAGATGGTTTTACTGCCCCTGGCAGAGAGACGATCATCACAGGGAAACTACCACTAATATTTTGTACTTTGAAATTGAACTGAGTAGTTCCAGCAACATTTATGACGTCAAAGCATATGAAACGAGGACCTCAAGCAGCTAAATGAAAACCAACAACAGCCTAAGAAAGTGTTAAAAGACAATCAATTAGATCAGAATTCTAGGTCACAGAAGTGACAGTTGTTCAGAATTACTTTTCACTTTCTTAAGCACATAGGAAAACCTAACTGTAGTTAACAATGACCATTAAATTATATAATGTCAGACCACAATAGGCAGATTTGTCAATACAGATTATGACTATAAAATATTAAACCATTGTTCAGATGTGAGCCCATGACCACATGGGAAGCCTATTTGCTTGCATCAGCAACCTAAGTTCTGGCTTTTCCATGAAAATATACATGCTACCCTCCCAACACCTTTAACATTCATTCCCCTACAGCCATACTTCTGCTGGAAAAGATATGAAGTTTACTGGGATAAAAAATCAACAACTATGCTTTATTTCACCTAGAAATTTGTTGCTTTGTTTCACCTCAGAAATCTGTAGCATCTAATGCACACTAGATGGATCAGTAAGTATTTCTAGACAAATCTCTATCAATTTTCCATCTCTTTACCATCTGAGAATAATGATGAAACTTCAATATTCTCAGTCCTTTGAACACCTAAATTTCACTAATATCCACACCAGAGCTGTGTGGGTGTTCCCTATTTTAAAATATCATTAACCTCCCTGTTAACAGCCAGCTTGGCTTAGTATAGTACCACATGTGCTCAGTGACACTGACCCTTATGACACAGCATTAACTTGATATACTGACTGGTATGAAAGCAGAGATCATGTGATCTGCCAACACCATAAGACTTAATGGTTACCTGGTTTTTCTCCTGCTTTTCTTTATTCTCACTTGTCATATAAAATCTTTATTAATTACAACTTGTTTACTGTTTGCAATCTCAGGTTTATAAGAGCAGTCTGTCTAGATTTCTCTCTTTACTAACATAGCTGAGTAACAAAGGGAAAGGCCAGTGACGTGGGCAATAGAAAATGCCCTTAAGCTTGTGATTGTTGACAAAAAGAGAGCATGGGTTATCTAACTTCCTGTTTTTTCTCCAACATTATGGCAGCCAATCTCCACTTTTGCATTACCGTTATATCACATGTATGACTGAAACCCTTTTTGTGCTGGAGGCTCTGTGTAAATTGGCTTTTCTTTTTTTAATTTCAAATCTTGAATAACCTCTGGAAATGTTGCTAGCACATGCTTTCAAGTGGTGTGGGAATTCTTAACCAATAAGCTTTGGATATCTCATTATGGTACATTTTTATCCATTTGCAGTTAACAGGTGGAGTGGAGGGTAGGTAGGTGGGCAGGGGCATGTGCGGGTGTGTGTGTGCACACACCAAGAAAGACAGGGAGCACCTGCGTTCATTGTTTCTACCACTCTCACAGGCATATGGTTTTTGATTTAAATTGCATTCTGCAGCAATGTCTCTCATCACTGATGAGAGGTGTAACCCAGAGAAAGACTAGGTAGTGAAGGTTCCCAAGACTAACACAGCTTGCTACACTGCAACAGCTAATATAAACACTAATAAAACTGTACTTCAAATTGATGCTGTCTAAATGCCAAAATGAAAAGTTCAGAAGAAAATCAAGCTGAACAATGTGTTTCCCTTCCTTCCTAAGCTTTCCACACTGAATGAAAAAAGATAGGAATGAAAAAACATCCCTAAAAGAGTCAACAGTTTATTCTGTAATTGCCCAAAACTGATGCACATGAATAAATCAGTGATTTCCTTGATTAGGGAATTTTATCCCTGAAAAATTTTGGCAACCAAATTATTTTCTAAGCTACTTTTCACTTTCAGTATAGGTTTTATGTTCCAGATGTCATCTTCCTCAGTCATGAAATACAATTTAAATCTGAACTACATAGAAGTGTTCATTGTACATGAGGAAGGAGTTAATGGCTTTGCTTATTTTTGTAAACCAGCATAAAATTGCAAAGGCAGCAGTGAAAAGTCTTTTTGTTGCCCAAGGGAAAATACAAACTACTATGTACATTGATGTATGCTATGAGCGTGACATTTTAACCCTGAAGAAATAACATTTCTCTATTAAATACAGTAGAGTAGACAAAGATATGGCTAACTCTAAGAACCATAATGCTTGCTGAATAGTTTCTATTTTCCAAGCTCCCCAAGTTTTAGCATTTCCCTTTTTCTCTCCTGTGCATTGCTCAATTTCTCAAGTCTGGCAACCTGCCCTGTAACCAAGAATTTAAAAACATCCCTGCGAGTTTTTTTTTCAAATGGTATAGCAACAGCAAAAACATTGCAGTTATCAGAAAGCGAAATGCTAAAAAAACCAAACTAACCAAACCTGTGCATCTCCCTCCCGCCTCCTCCCAAAAAAAATCTCAGCCTTGCTTCTTCTCCAAAGAGGACAACACACAATTCAAAATTAACAATCACACCACTCATTACCTTCTCCCTTGTTCTCAGGTAACAAGTGACAGGACAAGAAGAAACTGTCTCAAGTGGCATCAGATAAGTTTTAGGTTAAATGTTAGGTAAAAGATTTTCATGGAAAGTGTTGTAGAGCATTGGAACACACTGCCTAGCAAAATAATAGAGTCATTGCCCATGGAAGTGTTAAAAAATGTGCAGATATGGCACTTGGTGACACAATGGGTTGCGGTAAACACAGTGGTGGTGCTAGGTTGATAGCTGGACTCAATCTTAAAGGTGTTTCCCAAACTTAACAACTCTATGATTCTATCATTTTCTGAGTACTTCCATGAACAGTGGTTAGGTGGGCTGTGCAAGAGCTACACTAATCTCTACCAGCCCCCACTGTTTCACAAAACTTGCTACATATTACATTTATATTGTGTTGTAGTGTGTTGTAAAGTTTCTTGTGTTATTCCCCCAATTTATGTATTGTTCTCCCCTATTATGTGTAAAATAGTTTCGTTTCCCCAGTATTTCCCGCCACTGCTAGCCTGTCAGCTAAGTTGCTATAGTAACCGCTATTCATAGTTGCCGATATGTAATTGCTCCTCCCCTGGTTTCCCTTATAAGTGAAAGTTGTTTCCTCCCTGGGCCCAGTCAATCACCCCCTTTCTCCTCCCAGGTTTCAAGAACCTTCTTCTCTCTGGAGATGGTGGCTGGCTGGGGTCCCAGGACACCTCCTTTACCTTTTGATTATTGGTCTCCATGGAGTGTCAGTTCTGTGAAGTTCATCCCTCACCTTTCCCAATTAGTTGCGCCTGTACCCACCCCCCTCCTTTATAATCCTGTTTCACCCCCTATTGAAAAAACTTTTTCCCAGTTGGTTTCCCCGCGTTTAGATCCCGCAACACCTTCAATAAACCGATGTTTAACCCCCGGGAAATGGTCAGCTCCGTTCCTCCCCAATACCAGCGGTGTAAGCCAGTCCGCAGCCAGCACAGCCCGAGGCCATCAGACGCCGAAGGGTGCTGGCCAGGAATTGCAGAGGGGCGTCGGCCTTTCGCACTCAGCTAGTCAGACTCTAAACTTCGGGCCACATACGCTCCCCTTTGCAATATTGTCTTTCTGTATTTCCCCTACTAGACCAGCTCCTTTACGTGGTTCATGATACCAAGAGTTTATACAAGTGATGACTGTTACACCAGATGGTTCCGATGGCATCTAAGAGTGACCATGTTTAGCAACAAGAAAATAATGTAGCTCATTACCACAACACATGAGATAATTCAAATATCACTTCTCATGGCACTTCTTAAAGTACAAAGGGAAAGATATATTCTAGAGTCATGCAAATATGATGCCCACCACATCTTAAATCCAGTAATGAATATATTTCTAAAAGGAGATTGTAGTGAGGTGGGGGTCAGTCTCTTCTCTCAGTAAGCAAGTGACAGGACAAGAGGAAATGGCCCAAGAGGAGTTAAAATTGGGTATTATGAAAAATTTCTTCGCCAAAGGCATTGTCAAGCATTGGAAAAGGCTGCCCAGGGAAGTAGCTGAGTTACTATCCCTGAAGGCATTTAAAAGAAGTGTAAATGTGGAGCTTAGCACATGGTTTAGTGTGGACCTGGTAGAGTTAACTTGATCTTAAGTCTTTTCCAAGCTGAACAATTCTATTCATAGAAATGCACAGATTGAAGTGTTCCTACAAGCCAGACTTTAAATGAGGGACTGGATGATAGACATTTGGAAAACTAGACTACTAATAATGTTTACTCACATATAAAGAATAGTTGGCAAGGTATAAGATCACTTACAGATTAAAAAACAAGAGTTAAAGTATCACACATGTGCCTTTTAGAATCTTCATGAAAAGGCAAGTGGTCTATAAAAATGTATACAAAAAGCTGAATTATACGTACTTCTTAAACAAAACACAACAAAAAAATCAGTCTTTACTTGTTCTTCACATGGACTTGAAAAACAAGATGGAATGACATCAGCAAGAAACTGAAATTTGACCTGATGTTTTGCCAACCAAAGTCACATAAGGAAGTTACTAGATTGCTCAGCTTTTTTTTTTTTTCACACCTGCTAAAAAGGTGTGAAACATCTACATCTGCCAAATTAGTGCAAGACATAAAAAAAAAATATTTATTCCTCAAACTCCATAGGATAGTTATAGAAGCTGCTGCTCCACATTCAATCAGCTGAAATGCTAATATAACCAACAGTTCTCAGTTTGTTATCCTCTACATTTAAAAGCTAAGATTTCAATATTCCTTAGGGGAAAAACCCAAAAAATATTTTATAAAAAACTAAGATCTTGTACCCAGCTGTTCACTTGCAATTCCACACAATTCTTTGAGAAGCTAATATAAATTAAGTGCTCTACATTCAACAGACACCAAAGGCTTCCTAAATGTTTTTTAGGGATGATGTCTCTTATTCAGCAGTCACTCAATATATCGTCATCAATGTACCCTCACTTTTTGCTGGCAGCCCTAGTAGACAAAACACTCTAAAACATTCCAGACTTCACAGAGCTGGTCAGACAGCAGAAACTATGCTGATACATGTCTCCTGGCCAAGTCAAAGCATAAACAGCAGTGATGTGCTCCATCTTTTTTGTTGTTTCAGGCAGCATTCTGTCTCTGAGTGTCCCTGCAATTCAGAAATTGATGTAGAGAAGCCTGTAAGTACTACAGCATTTCACAGTTTTAGTCCTTCCCCAGATGCTCAGAATGAGTTTTGGTGGCTGGAACAAAATGGTTTTACAGGAAACAAGAACTAGCAGTAAATTCTTAACTATTTTTCTTCCCCCAAATTAGTCAGGCTGAAAATGGAAATTTAAAAAAGCACATAGATCATTCGCTGAAGAAAACTACTCAAAAACTACACTAACATCTGCATGTGAGACTGTGTTCTTCACATTCTAAAGCAAAATATTCCTCATTCATAGTTCTTGTAAATTCTGTTTCCTTCAGGTTTGCAGAGAAGTGCTAGAATTCCAAGTGATACAAACAACCCAGCAAACAGACTGTGATTAAAAATCATGCTGAATAGAAACACAGAAAAAAGATGACTTCCTCCTTTGAAACTCAGTAGCTCTGCAGAGCTGACAAAGTAAAAGGAAGCAACATGTTGCCATTTTTCTTTAAATATATTGTTTATGTTCCTATTTTTATGCAGTTGTTTCTCAAAAAAGCTGCTTTTTTAAAAGCTGCTTTCACACTGTACATTAAAAAAAATCTCTCATTCAATATTTGCAAAACAAAAGGTAATTAATGTATAACATTTGCTTGAATATTTTCCTTTTAAATCATTAAAACCTGTTCACAAATTCAAAATGTCTTTGCTAAAATTGTGCAGGACAATACAACATTAAAAAAAGTAAGTGTAATTAAAATGCTACAAAATTCAAAATGCTTTCTATAAAGCAAGATCCTAATCCAGAAATGTAAGAATATTTAGACACAATATTGTATTAACTACTGAAATACAGACTCACAGACACACAAAGTAAGTCAAATACCTTTAGCCTCCAATTATCTCCCACTTCTGTTTTGATTCTGTTCAGCCAATTTTCATCAAAATAAGCTGGATCTCTGAAAAATAAAAAGTGCATTTATTAAAAACACAATTACAGAAATTTTGAGTGTACACATTCATCATTAAGCTCCCATCTCAGGTTTGAGTTAATTTAAATGACTACCTCTTGCATCTGACACATGGCCTGAATACAGTAGTTCAGAAACCTGTTACTACTCACTTTTCTAAGAACTTTCACCCTATTGACAGCACAGGTTCATCTGTGTGCCATGAGGAGCTTATGCTTTTGAGGAAGCATCTTTGTATTTTGAATGCATTTTGCCAGTTTTCCCTCCATAAGTCCTACCTCTTAACTTCTTTGGTGTTGCAGCAATATTTACTTGCATTTCTTAAAAATATTAAAAATTATTACTTTTCCACACATTATGCATCCCTACCATTGCACACTGCTTACAACTACTCAGCTGCTAAAATAAAAGCCTGAAACTGAACAATACACATGCTGTCTTGATAGAGTGAGAAGAGCTAGGAAACATCACTGAAGTTTTTATATCTAAGAACACACTTCACTATTTGATCTACCAAACACTATCAGTTTTTTAAATCCTCTTTTCACAGCAACCCTACACAAATCTTTTTGTGAACACCCTTCCTTAGAAGCTTTTCTATTCTCTGCACTTTTGACAAGGCAATCAAGAAAAAGAACAGAGAACTATTTCTATGCGTAACTTCTTCCTATTAATTTTTCTCAAAGCATCTTCCACAGGCTGCTTCCTCAAGACACCTCCTGAGACTCTCTCTCCTGCTACCAAACTCAAAGATCATCTAAAAGGCTAACATTTTCTACTGCTCAATTCAAATTTTCCCTTTATCATAGGGAATTTTGAAAATGCTATGATCAGAATTAAGGAGAAATAATGTACTATATATAACTGGTTTTAAAGGAGTAGAAAAACACAAGGAAAGGTTTCTATTTCATCCAACATATGAAGTCAATACAGCCAGAAAGAAAAAAACATCTGTCTATTGTTAGCAAAATGCTCTTAAGAGTTTGTGTTACAGTTTCAGGTGAAGTACTCTATTTTCTGGACTGCTGCAATTTGCCACTGATTACTTATTAGATTTACTGCTGCACCTTCTACACATAGAACTGTTCCGGACTGATTTCTTTTTTCAAGGGCAAGGCGCCATGAGATCTTTTGGCAAAATTTCAAGAGAACTCTGAATATGCCTGGAGAGTCAAATAACATCCATATCATATATACTGTAAACCAGCAACTACATCAGAACTTTTATTAGAGCACAAACTTTGCAGCCACACTTTGCATCTGATGCACAGTACATGCTGTGTTTCATCTTCTCCACAGCATCTTCACAATGCATTAAGGTCTGCAAGCTGTACTGCAACTACAATACACAGCAATGGAGGAAGATCATAAATAGCAATGTTTCTCTACTGACACATTTTCATTGCTATTTTTTCACACTTTGTTACAGATTCTTGTGAAGATTACAGCATATTTCGTTTCCTTGTCATTGCACCTGCAAACATATATCTGGAAGAACAGCTTTAATTACTGGTTAAGTTGATGACTCCAAATTACTTCCATTCAAAAACAGTACAGTTCTAGCATAGATGACAGAAGCTTAAATTACAAAATAGAACAGTAATGTCTTATCCAGACTATCACTGGTTTTAAAATATATATTTTTAAATAGCTTTCAAATGGCCTCTCTGCCACAAGAAGACAGGTAAATTTAAGAATGACACTGATTCAAGTACATGTAAGATCTCTGACACATGAAAAAAGTTTACATTCAGCTTTTACATGAAACAAATAGCTCTCCTTGCAAAAAGCCTTAATTAAAAAGCCTTCATTTGCCTAATTTCCACTCAATCACAACAAAATCATCTGGACACTAATGAAAAGAATGACAGTTCAAATCCATTTTAGGTGTGGGGTTCAAAAAACACCCTAATGACTGTCAAATGGGTCTTCTGAGAATTGCTGATACACAAATAAGCTAGCTTAACAAGAGACTCACAATTATAAAGTATTTATGCAGCTGAGAGATTAAGCAGGTATGACCTGTGCTTCCTCATAAAAAAAACCCAACAGGGCTTCCTTAAGGAATTTTATCATTTTAAGGGTTGCACTTGGCCACTAACATCTTTAGCTGCTTCAAGGCTGTAGTGCCATAAATATATCAATCCTTGACATACCATTTTCATGGTTCTAGGAAACAACATGAGCAGGTATAACAACATCCCATAAGCAAAACTATATTTGGACAGACTGGGTAGCAGATATTGTAGATCCAGTTTTCAACAATAACAGCACCAGTAAGTGAATCAGCTGAGGAATGCTAACAAGACTTCAGAGTTAGGCCCATCTTACCTCACTCTGAAAGCCTGAAATTCAGCAGAAACTAAGCAGCTTTTCTCAGCTACTACTGTAATAAAAGGAACACAGGGACCAGCAATTGTCTTTTACAGTGCTGATGAAAGTCATATGCTACCTAAACCCGGATATACCTCATCAGACATACTTAAGGAAGGTCCTTGAGAAATACATCTAAACTCAGTGTGGTAGTCCTCTTCCACAGATCCATTTGCTTTTTCATTTGTATGTATACAAACCTCATGGAAGCATCCAAGGGTCCAGCAGCTGATAAGCAATCCAGTTGAAATCAGTATCATGTAACAATGGTCAAAGTAGCACCAACAGTTTTTTTAGAGAAGCTTCATACAGGTTACACAATAATTAATAACACATTGCAAAAACACTTTGCCAGGAACACAATAAGCAGAAAAGTAAAAGGTTGGGTATCAACACCAATCAAATCTAGAATGATCATCCTTTCCTCAACCTCATCACCATTATAATTTTCTTTCTCTTCAAAAGTCTCATTGAAGTTCATTACTAGTAACAACCACAATGTTCTCTCTATATAACAAACTATTGGAAATCAAACCTGAAATAACTTTTCCACAGTTACTTCTAAACATACTTTTAAAAAGGGGTTTCCAGATGTTAGATCATTCACAGCCCTTGCTGCAAAAAAGTCTCCTTTTACTATATTTCTGGGAACCATAATTCAATCAAATTCAGGTCATCTTAGGCCATTTCATTTGGAAGCAACAGCATTCTTCTTACAGCGTTTGAAAAAGTACCACCTAAGCAAATACAAAAATGTGTGGCTGAGAAGCGAGCAGCTACACTAATAGAAAATTAACTGGAGCATCTTCATTGCCATGAGACGACTCATACATGAACTAAGTATTTTGAATTCACTAAGTTCCTGAGCCTAGACCCAAAGTGGCTAACTTTGAGGATTAGAAAGGTATTTGTGTATCAGTTGATTGCTGCCTACTACCTCAGTAGTACTGCAGGTAACTGGGACTTTTCTTCAGAGCAGAAGATACTTATGCTGTTGCTAATGCTCTATCACTTCATGTGATGTTTTCAGCAGTGCTCATTTATACCATCTCCATCTTATTTTGTATGCAAATTTTCCTTTATTTAAGCAATCATCTCTCTCCATCACAGATGCCAAGAGACAGAAATACTCTTCTAAAGAAAACCAACCCACAGAGCATGTAGTATAACTCATGATTATTACTCATTATAACAGCGGTACAGTAAGCTGCATCAAAAAATGTGTTTACAAAAAATTTCCCTCCCTCAGTGATATACAAAAGCATGGCTTTTGTGTTTTGCATGTGTCAAAATGCATACACTGTGTTGCAATGTATAATAGAACAAATGAATAATTCACTGAGAGGGGCACGATGCAGAGATGACAGAAGAAAATATATACAAATTCTTACATTTACCAAGGCCAGTATGACAGAGAAAGAAAGAATCAAAACAAGAGGGACACCTGGCACTAAACAGTTTCCAGAGTGGGATGAAAGGAAAATTTTAAAACAGGAAATCCTGCTATTATAGGGATATCAGTGGACAGTGAAAGCATAAGTAAAATCATTGCAAGCTACACCAAAAAAAAGGATGTGATTCAGAAGCAAGCTATGGCACTCGTACCAGCATAAGCTACAACTTTAGGCCAACAGTCTACTCATTAAAGAATCAAACATTTTATTTTGCTTCCACTCTACTCCTGCAGTACAACATTCTTTAAAATAATCATCAACACTGAAAGTGTACAGGCATTTCTTCTTACTGTACTTCACATCAATGATAGTCAGAGGGATTACCACATCTGAATAGAAACAATGAATCTTACAGAATAATATACAAAAGTTAAACTAAAACATAGGCTGAGTTTCTTCCTCCAAGATAATACAGTTAGCACTAGAGAATTACATTAAATGATATTTTAAGCTCAAATTCAAAGATAAAGTTTTAATGATATAAAGGAAGAAAATGTCCTCAGGAATTTAACAACACCTGTTTTTTAACAGCTGAGACTGGAAGCAAAATTTTCATGCTTGGTTACATAGAACATATTTCTGATATTTGCTGTCATACACTACATCAATAGTAAAAACCTTCTGAAGGTGTCAGTAATTTCCTCTGTAACCTCTTCTTCTCACAGCTTATTCCAGCAGTTTTGTTAAAGAAAATTCTGCTGCATTTGTTTTGATGTCTGGCACTTACCTACAATGGGCTGCTACTGTGAGTGTAAAAAATATTGAGCATGATGTACAAAAAATGAAGAACCACAGAAGAAACTGTCAGCCCCCTCCACTTGGTACAAGGCACAGCTGGCTTTTGTCAGCTGATGAGCAAGCAATGTTCTTCCTCCTCTCTTTCCTCTTTTCTTTCTTTTTCTGACTAAATCCTACAGTTCTGTTTTATGCAAATTTTATGTCTAAAACAACTAACTCCCTGAGCCAGGGATCTCTCAAAACCTGCTCCTCATCATGACCTACTATCTCCCACCCTCATAAGTACCAGTGGACTTGTCCTAAGAAGGCAGATGTAAGGAAAAAAAATAGAAATAATAGAATTCACTATTAAACCTTTAATTTTTTCAGAAGAAACGCTATCCTCACTCCCCTATCTGGAAATATATCTAGAACATTAGTCCACTCCAACACCTTTAAATTTTCATCAATGCTCTTCTTTACTGGATATATTAATTTGCTCTTTAATATTTTAAAACATTAATTAATTTACTACAGTAAAATCCTGATTCACACAAAGTTGCCAGAACTTTCCTCTCCCTACCTTTACCTAATCAGGTAAAGGCTCAAAGAACACACACTTAAAAGAACCTTTAACAGGAAGCACCTAGACTAAGAAACACCTGCTTTTCTTTCTTCCTTGGAAAATTACAAAAACAGTGGTTTATCCTTCTCAATAGAATAAAAGTCATGGCATTTAAGTTGTGTCTGCAGTCAAAACAACACATTTTTCCTTTGAAGATTAACTTTTGGAGAGATTTTCATGTCAAATGCAACTATTCAGGTTTTCACTGCAAATGATATGTTTGCAGTGACCTGATGCTTTCAGACTTGCTCCTTGCTATTTAACATCACTGCAAGACTTTTCCAAGTAACCTTAAGCATACAGCTGTCTCTCAGCAAAAATTGTATTCTATATTATTATCTTTCTTAGGGCAGAGGGGGAACCCGTGCTGCTAATATAAAAAGAAAAAGGCAAAAAAGCCTGTTCTAGACTTGCTTCGCATTGTTGAACATGCCCTAACTCGCAGTGAAGTAGTCTTCCTGCTGTCTTTGTTCAAAGGACCAACAGTGTTGAATTTGGTTTTATTTTCAAGAAAGAATATTTAAAATGGCTTTGCCAACATGCTCCTGATCAGTTTTCTAGTCAGCTACACAAATGCTGATCCTTATATTTGACCTATATTCCACTATCATGTCCAGGGAAAGAGAAAATATTTGGCTATTCTACAATCCCTGGTTTCTACTTCAAAAATCCATTAGACTAATCTTCTGTTACACCTCTTATCTTATACAACTTACCTTCTGTTTATTCTATTAAAAAAAAAAAAACCAAAAAAGCGGTATTTTCTCTCAAAGATTGTTCATGTTATCGTTCCTGCTGTACAATCCAAGATCAGATTGCTGCTGCTCAACAGGAATGCAGTCAAGATTTAGCAATACTGTTGCTAAATTTCAGGATGAGAATATGTCTGTTCATTACATAAGTATGCAAAATGTTAAATCTGAAGCATAACTACCATAAAGTAAGATAATTAAACACTAATTTTGGCATGTTCAAATTATTATATAGGACATAAAGAAAGAATTATAAATTGTCTAGGAGATCTTTACATATTTTAAAATCATGCTACAGAAGTGCAATATTTGTACTGTATATTTATTTTTAAAGTTCAATTCATCAGCTGAAAACAGTATCTCAGAACCACATGCTAAAAAGTCTTGCTTTGAAATATTTGACTACATTGAGATTTCCCTTTTCCCCTTTTTTGTTCTTCCTGTGACCTGGCAGTTCCTTCTCTCACTAGGAGGAAGGCTCCTGCTCCTGAGAATCTGCAACTAAAGAAGAGACTCAGTTCCCTCACAGCAGTTAGAGCCCTAGGAGCTCTGTCAAACAAATCAGCTGTGTTCAGTAAACCTGAGCCACACAGCAGCATAAGAGGGAAGTGCTAAACACTCAAACAGGAAGGAGGACCCTCATCTTCTGACTGGTATCAAGAAAGGCTGTTGTTTGCTCAGGGTTTGAATTCCGGGCATTGTTGAAAGACTGCTGAAGCGTGTCCAGCCCTCACATTATTATTTCTTCAGCTCTTACCTGGGCACGAGCTGTACAGGAAGGGAAACCTGCAAAGTACCAAATGTGATTATGCAGTTTTGGAAGGTATGGTCAAGGCTCAAGTGGTGTTCTTCCCTGTTGCAACAGTTAGTGAGGTAGAGGTTTGAGCAGCAGATAAACCCTGCAGGTCAACAACCAGCTGTGAGATAGTGTTGGCAATAAAGTTTTAGTTTTGATAACCATTAAACCCTTTTGAGAATAAGGACTGTTTGGAAGAGACGGGATCCACCAGGCTATGGTGGACAGATGCATCCTCATGAACAGGCTGGCCAAGGTGGTAAGAACAGTTTTATACAAAAAAAAAAAGTGAACATTAAGTTACAAAGTAGTGAACTCTGTTGAAGAATTAGGGGTGAGGAATGATATGAACAAAAGACACCTCATAGTCAACAAAACAGGTATGGGTAAAGTGAGATCACTCCAAGCATATGCACATAAATATAGAAAGGCCTAAAGAAGGACTCTCTGGGGAAAGCTTCATTCTTGGGAATCAGAAAGACTGGATGTGGTGGTGTTCACAGGGGTCCCAGGAAGAGGGAAGAGATGAGGATCTGACTCCATGTTTCAGAAGGCTTGATTAATTATTTTATGATACATATTATATTAAAACTATACTAAAAGAATAGAAGGAAGGATTTCATCAGAAGGCTAGCAAAGAACGCAGAGGATGGAATGATAACAAAATCCTGTGTCTGACCAGAGAGTCCAATACAGCTGGACAGTGACTGGCCATTAATTAGAAACAACCACATGAGACCAATTAAAAATCCACCTGTTGCATTCCACAGCAGCAGATAATTATTGTTTACATTTTGTTCCTGAGGCCTCTCAGCTTCTCAGGAGAAAAATCCTAGCAAAGAGGTTTTTCAGAAAATATCGCTACAGAAAATCACGGCTACAGCTGGATGCATATGTGGAGTGCTTGTGCGCTAATGCAGGCAGCATGGAGAACAAATAGGAAGAAACAGAGTTCTACATGTAGTTGCAAGGTCAGAGACCCACTGGGATCATGAGGTCATGGTAGGATAGCTCACATGCCAAGGCTGCTGACATGAACATATATAGGCTCCTTAGGAAGAACAAGCTAAGAAGGCAGTGACAGAAAGATGCCCTTTCTGCAACAGACCAAAGGGAATGAATGAGCCCTGCCTTAGGACGGATTTGAGCCAGCTGAGAGATTACTAGTCAGAATGACTAAGCAGATCAACATGAGTGACACTGCTACAGATTCCTGCTATAGACTGCCTGATCAGGATGACATCCTCATAGAACTGATGAAGCATTACAGGGGTAACTGGATAGCAAGGTGGGCTGGAAAATGGCTGAAATGCTAGGCTCAAAGGTTTCAGAAGCATGAAATCCAGCTGGATTCACTAGCAGCATATCCAAGGGGTCAATAGTATTAAATGTCTCTAGTAGGGACCTAGATGAAGGGACAGAGAGCAATTTTTCATATAATATAAAAATGGAAGGCATGTTTGACACACCTGATAGCTGCATTGCCATTTAGGAGAAATTTGACAAGCTGGAAAAACAAGCTGAGAGTAACCTTACACATTTCAGAGAAGTTAAATGCAAACAAACCCTATTCACCAGTATATAGGGAGGGTAAGTGGTTGGAAAACAGCTTTGCAGACAAGAAAACGGGCAGAAACCAAGTGGAACACACTCCAGCAATGTGTCCTTGCAGCACAGAAAGCAAACCAAAACCTGGGCTGTGTTGGGAAGATCGCTGCCGGCAGGCCAAGGGAGGTACTGCTCAGATCTGTTAAAACCGTATCTGAGCTGCTGCATCCAGGCCTCCCCAGTAAGAGAGACACTTGGACGTACACGGAAGTTCAGCAAAGGGCAATTAAGATGATTAACAGACTGCAGTTTCTGTCAAGTGAGGTGAAACTGAGCGAGCTGTGTTTGTTTCGCCTCAAGCAAAAAAGGCTCAGTAAGATCTTACCAATCCTGTGTATAAATAACCCGATGGCTTCTTCTTTATACCCTCACATAATCTCAGCGGTGTCTGGTTAACAGACAAGGGGTAGTGGAAACAAACTGAAAAGTACTTCCAACTGCAAAAAACTAAACTGACAGTTCCATTCAGTTCATCATTGAAACTTTATTGCATTAAACTACTTCTAACACTACTGACTATAGTTTCAAACAGCAGTCAGGGCCAATTATCTTACCTTGGACTGATTTCAATTTTAAGTGTGAATCTGTATGTCTAGTTTTAATTCAGGTTACTTTCCAGTAAGTTCACACTTGAATGAACTCTTCTCTAAAACAACTGGGGTTTTTTCATTTAAGATAGTTATCTGTAAACTACAGAGGAAAACATCATTAGACATGTTCCACTTTAAAGTACCATGTGAGCACATCCTTAGGCAATACTAGCCAAGGTAAAACACATGTAAATACACAAAAATGTACAGATATAAAAAACCTCTGTATTTAATTCATTAAGTAAACAATTACTTACATTTTTTGAAGGACCTGGGCCATCACAACCCCACTCGTTAAATCTTCCACGGTCTGGCATGGTGCCTCAACATTAAATGTCTGGATCTATGTGAGAAAGGAAAAAGTTATCCTTATTTCCTTCAATGTAAAGGAATTTTCAAAGGTTTGAAAAAAAAATACTACCAAATAGCAAAAATAATAAACTCCACATATTTAGCATACATGTTTGTTTTAAAAAGCTTTATATTTAATAGTCAAAGACAGAAACATCTTGTTTTCTTATCCTTGTTTTCTCAATAAACTGCTACAAAAACCAGTATTACATTCTCCAAAAGGCAAACTTCCTACTGCATTTTCTACTTACTGAAAGTCATCAGTGCATTCAAGTACTTCCATATAATCTTGTACAATTCAAGTACACCCTCTCAATCAACAAAATAAACTCAAGTTTTAGAAGGAACAGTGATCCCACAGAATGCTCAACTCCCCACAATGACAAGATGAAATGTAGATTGATATACATATTCCAAACTTGATTAATCCCTACTATGAGATGGAAGAGAAGAGCACAATATTGCTAAACCCTGATTGCTCTATACACTACTAGAATTCTGAATATTTCACGCTAACGTACTAACACCAGTGACATGCACCACAGTCCGCACAAAGCTCTTTTCTTCCCTGCTCTCTTGATGAGAAGAATCAGTCCACTTCAGGACAATCTTTTTAACTGGTTTAAGTTACTTGATAATTTACTTTAAAATAACATTATTTTTAAATGATGTGAATGAGTTTACAACAATTTTTATGATACTATTTGGAAGGTATCTGTCTAGTGCTCTCTGTTACTATCCTCCTCCTACAGGAAACTTGGGCTTATTTGTAGAAAGCAAATTTTTTCATATGTAAAAGGGATAAAGCAGTCTACGAAAGCACTTGCAGTTTCAGAGTGCATAAATGTTACATACAATCAATAATTTTTTTTCTGAACATAATGTGCAACCATTCATGCTTTAGTGGCATTTGGAAGAGTAATAGTTGTTAGTCATTTCCCAATAAATACCCTTTATATGTGTGTGTTACAACAAAAGACAATTCATGTTTCAGTGGGAAATTCTGGAGGTCTTCCTCTGAGAAGGCTCTCAGAAAATGAAGTGCACAACAGCCAGATTCTCCTTATACCTTTGGAAGAGTATATTATTATACCTTTGGTATAAGGACTCTAGGTCATGTAAGCTACAATTAGTAATGCAGACATTCTAGCAATGCCATTTAACATTAATTTGGAGTACAGGCACCTAGGTGAATTTTCCTTTTTTCCCTGTATTCCGGAGAAAAAAACTAACACTCAAGTAGGAAAAAAAAAAGCCATTATATGAATGAAGAGTCAAAAATTGAGCTCTCAGAGCATGTTTCCTGGTCAACTGTGACCAGTCAGTAATAATGAATGATGTCTCCATGTTCCAAAAGTACATTAATAAATTACTGAGAGGCATATAAGACAGATAAAAGTGACTTCTGCACTTCTGATTCAGATTTTCTTACAGCATGGTCTGAACTACCTGAAAAAACCCCACAGCTGCCTCTCCAGAAATCAAGAAGCCATCATAGGTTGTCAGGACACTAGATGAAAATCAGAGTGGGTGGGTGAGGAAAAAAACCCACGCATGAAAGCACAACATAACAGGATATAACACTGAATTACAATTTTGCCAGAAAACTGAATTTACCAGTAGTTTCTGATTTGTGGCAACAATGTTGAAGGAATACAGAGACAACTCTGAGTCTCCAATTTAGCAAAATATTAAACAATATATAATAGTTTAGAGCTACAACAATAAGATCTGCAAAAACATTGTGGATACTTATGCTTGAAGAAGTTTAAGATGCTAAAAAGATAAAATTATCAAGCACAGACAATGAAAACTTTTTTTCTAATTTTGTGTATTATACATTTAAATAATTAAAATTGAAATAATTTTGCTGCACAAGACTCAAATCAAAAAATCCCTTAAGAACTACTACTGTTGCAGTTTTCCAGAAGTAGAAAAGGTTAAATATTCTTTTCAAACAAGCAACAGCAACATAATTAAGATTTACAGAGTGCAAACTAACCAGGGTGTTTTAGATTTATTTTGTAACTTGATATACACAACACTTCCTTGACTAAACAAAAGGGTATGTAGATGATATCACTACATTGAAAGATGAGCAAGTCAAAGAAAAATAAGCAAGTCTATCTCCAAAACACAGAGGGAAAGGATGCACATTTTCTGTTATTTTGTGTATAATTTATCCTCATACTTCCCTAACACTTTACATAGAAAAAAGGTCTAAACTACCATTAAGGTTCAGTTAACCTATCTGAACTCTTTCTTCCTCCCATAGACATACATGTAAAATTTCCATGGAGGAAAATAATGTTTCTCATAGTTAGACATCAAAGAAAAGACAGAAACTAATGTGTCTTTTATGTGTATAAACATTTAAATTTCATAATAAATGAAATTTAATTTTACATTTAGTTTACTTATTTTTTATATTTAGTTTTAGTTAAAAAAGCTATAAATTTAGTTTTCAGATTTTGATTGTGCCAAATTTAAACTGCAAAACATTTACACAAATCTTAAAAAATAAAGAACTATATGCTTTTCATATCCTTCAGAGATATGAAAATTACAAATTTCCTTCAAAAAACTTTACACAAAATAGCTTTTCAAATTTACATCAAAGTTAAACTCCTATACCATTGCCAGTTCTACAATATGCTAAACTTCAGTAAGGCAATATGTTCACTTTCCCTCTAGGGAAAGTAAGAATTCACTTTCCAGAAGGGAGAAAATTATAAGAATGTGGCAAATGATAAGAATGTGGCAAGACACAGAGTTCCAGCTATTGAGACAAGCAAATTGTGTGTGCGTGCCTCTAAACAGCTTTTCAGTAACAGCTGTTAAAACAGTGCTCTTCCTGTGCATTGTGATGTGTCTCCTCCTGGAAGACTACTCTCTCTTCCTGCACCAGCTGCTCCTCTGCTCCTGCTTCTTCAGTGCTCGCAATGCAGTTCTCATCATTAGTTCCACAACAATGAAAAATAATTTCTGTTTGTGGTTATGATTATTGGGGCTTTTCCCCCACTTCCTGAACTGCTCTACAGAGCCTGTATGTCATGTCTGTGGGCACACATGAATCTCATGAAGATCAAGGCCAAGTGCTGCATCTGAGCTGGGGCAACCTCCCCTACCAACACAGGCTGGGGGAAGAACAGATTGAGAGCAGCCCTGCCAAGAAGGAGTTGGGGGTGTTGGTGGGTGAGGCTGAACATTAGTCAGAAATATGCACAGTCAGCAGGTTAAAGGTGATTTTTACCCTCTACTACTCTCTCATTAGACCCCATAACTCTCAGTACTACAGCGAGCTCTAGGGTCCTTCGTACAAGGAAGACACAGACAAGTTTGAGCAGGCCCTGAGCAGGACTTTCTTCCTATAATGAAAGGCTGGGAGAGTTGGGGTTGTTCAGCCTCGAGAAGAGAAGGCTTCAGCGAAACCTCACTGTGGCCTTTCAGTACTCTAAGGGAAGATGAGGGCACACTTTTAAATTGGCCCTGTAGCAAACAGAAAAGCAGTAACTGTTTCAAATTGAAAAATCATAGATTCAAAGTAGATAAGGAAGAATTATTCTATGATGAGGGTGGTGAAACACTGGATCAGACAAGTGGTAGATGCCCTATCCCCAGTAAGGCTGGGCTAGGCTCTGTACAACCTGATCTAGTTGAAGACATTCCTGCTCAAAGCCGGGGGAAGGGGCAGGGTAAGGTTGGACTACGTGACATTTAAAGGTCCCTTACAACACAAACTATACAATGATCCTATCATATAAGACTCTGAGGAAAAGAAAGGGGTAAAGGGAAAAACCTCAGTCACTTGACTTAATCACTAGGTCTAATAGGCCTTCATACTTTCCATCAGCTATCCTGCAATGAGAGAAAAGGTATTTATTTTACTGAATATTAATCCAGATCTCTGATCCACATGGACACAGAGAGTCAAATTTTATAAAAACCTTAGAATAAGAATTAGCAGGTTACTGTTACAATGCAAAGGAGGTTATCACTGGGGACTAAATAATTGCTTCAGGAAGACAATATCTTAGAAAATTTGAGTTAAGAATTCCTGGTCACATATATGATTAGTTAGGATTTGTTAGCTACTAGGGATAGGATGCAAAAATGTATTTTATGAAAAATACTTTTGATATGAAGGTCAGTGAACTGGACAAACACTCAGTTGTCAAAGACATTAGGTGAAAACCAGGATAAAAATGTAATGGGGAATTCAGCATCTGATGAAACTTAATGAGAAAAAGAAAAAAAGTAAAAACCAAACAAAGCAAACTAATTCTACCTCAAAGACATTCTCAATGACCTTTTCCTTCTCAACATTAAGGGATAATGAAAGACTTGCTCTTTGCACAGTGATTATATACACGGCTTGGTTTCTATTAATGATGGAGTTACATAACAAACCTCTCAAATATTCTTTTGGAATAATACCTGAAATTCTTATTAGTGGTTCTTAGCAGATAAAACTCTGTGTGACTGGTTACCTTAAGCCCAAACACAACAAACAGCAACATCCAGTTTCCAATTTATCCAAGCAAAGCACTCCCCAGTCACTGGTGGGGGACAAACTGAGCGTAAGTCCACAGATTCTGACCAACCTGCTTGCTTCTGTCAGGTTTTGCCACTCTCTTTCCCTCTCCTTACCATTATAACTATTATTAACAATTACTATTATTGTTGTTGTTATTAGCATATTTAGTACTATGTTATATTAATTATTGGAACTATTCTGTATTTATGTTATGTCTAGCCTATTATTGCTGTTGTTGTTGCGTATTTTATTTCAATGATTAAATTTTTCTTATGTCAACCTGCAAGGTTTACCTTTTCTTTTCCATTCCTCTTCTTCCACTTCCGCAGGGAAATCAGTGGCAGAATAAGTAAATGGTATGATCCTTAATTCCCAACAAGGATTTAGCCATGGCACCACCAATTTAGAATTATTCATCCACTATTTCCCTATATCTGTGGAACTGACCATGCAAG